GTTGTTGGTTGGATACTGACCAACACTATTTGGGACCCACCAAAGATCCAACCGCAATTTGTCATTGTAAGGTACACCAACAGCCCCTTCATGGAGCTAGCAAATTGACCACTTATTCCAGCCAGTGTATGCTGTTAAAAAATATTACACTTTGGCCCACATCAAGCTGGGTTGATTTATTGGTGCGCGTCGAGTCGAGTCGTGCACAATACTTTTTAAGGTCACGAGCTTCTGCAGTCAATGACAATGAGGCAGGCAAAACGATGCGATCACGTTTCAATTCTCTGTTTACTGATATGTATGCTCTACACTGAACTGTATACTCTTCAACAAGCCATAGTCTAACACAAAACGAAGTTGCATTCTCTTCTTTCCCCCTCTTGTGCAGAGATGTTGGGCGTAACCAGCTGTACGGGACCATTCCTGATGGAGTATCTAAACTACAGAATGTGGACTCTTTGTAAGTATTTACTGGCACCTTCATAGAAGCTGTTGTTTGAGTAAGTTGTTAATTGTTACTTATCACCAGGTCCTATATGACGACTGTTACGGCTGAGTGAAGGCGCTGGATCTCTTGATATCCTATTTGCCCGATCGTCGACTTGCCTCGTTACGTTACCGAATGGGCCACTTGCTCCTCTCTAGCACATGGCATGTGTGTACTTTCTCTTGACTTGTGACAGCCTCACTGTTACTACCGTATCTCCACTTGAACCATCCTGAAATCCATGAACTCCTTTCCCTCCGTCCGCTCTTCTCCCACACTCCCCTCCTTGTTTTTGGATTTTTTGGGGGTGAATGAAGGAGGAAATTAGGTTTTCCTTCCCCATGCTGACCCAACTACTCCCTGTACCCCCACTCTTCTTTTCCCTGCTTTTTTTCTTTCCCCCTGTTTCCTTCGTTTTTAGATGACCCCATGCATAATCTATAAATACTTCTACATACATAACTTCGTCTACAGAAACCTTGACTATAACAACTTTCATGGGGAGATCCCTCATGGCCTCTTTACCATCAAAGCCATTTCTGCCTTGTGAGTTGGGGAGAAATACACACCCTTCCTGCTCAGTTCTCTCTCACCCCCTTTCATCCCTCACATCACCGTAGGCTCTATCGATGATCACATGAGACTGCAGCATCTCCAGCTTCTCACATGACTTCTTGCATGCATGTCTCCAGCTTTCCCAATCTGATTCGATTTCCCACCACTCTATCTCTCTTTTCCACCACTCTGTCTCTCATTCCCGCCAATGTGTCTCTATGGAACGCCTTTTAGATATCTGAATGGCAATCGGCTAGGTGGAAGTCTGCCCAGCAAATTGGTGACAGGATCCCTCGTCCAATTGTATGTTCCCATGAGTTGCTGTGGGACAAGAGAAATTGGGTGGGTGGCTGGATTGGATGGGGACTACTGACACAAATCTTGATGTGTCCGGGTTGCGCACAGCAGTATTCCCAGTTTTGTCTTCTTGCTGGATCTGTAATTAAATTGGTGTAATGACATCTTGTGGTGACAGACACCTTCAAGGAAATGGATTGTCGGGCCCTCTTCCCGATTTTGCATACTGGAACACGTCTCTTGAGTACTTGTAAGTCTGGCAAGGGCAGCAGATTGCTGGCATGGAGGAATCCTGGAGGGATGTGCATGTCTCTGTAAGATTCATACAAGCGGTTCTTGTATCTAATCCTGTGGTGTTCAATTCCGAGGAGTCTGGTTGTTCATTGTTCTTCCATTCCACTCCAGGTTCTTACAAGACAACAACTTCACAGGGTCCATACCGCAATCAGTCAGCACACTGACTTCACTCACCCTGATGTGAGCCGTTTTCACCAAATGCCTGTATCATCAACGCCAGTGCCAACTACTGTGAAAGAAGGAAAGTTGTTTTGATAAAGCTCAAGTGGGCCGAGCTGAGGTATACATAGGTGGAGTCATGAATGATCTAGGTTAGGTTGAGCAACTATTATTGGAGGCAATGAATGCTGGTTGGGTTGGCCAGCATTACTGGGGGTCCAGTAATTGTTGGTTGGATTTTGGCCAACATTACTGGAGGGCCAGTTACTGTTGGGGAACCAACCAAACATCCAATGCAACCACAAATTGTGAGTGGAGGGTACATCGACCCAACAACCCCTTGCGTTTGCAAATACCTTCTCTAGCCTATGTATGTTGTTAAAAAATATAACAACGCCTACAGCATCTGTAACGTCAGCACCATCTCTTTTGCCTCTTTAATATTGTGAGCATCACGAGGCCACAACGCAGTAAGATCATGCCCCCTATGAATAAATTCATCCCCACTCTTGTATTGTGCGTGATCTCTACAGTTCATTGGCCAACAACGACCTATCAGGGACCTTGCCCACATCCCTTACGACCATGACCAATCTTGCAGCCATGTAACTCACATCACATGTTTTAGAGATTTTCCTCATGGATTTTTCAAGATGTACAGGCCCAACTATGTGGTTTCTTTTCCTTTGATGCCCAAACAATCTAGTGTCGATCACTCCTTCACCCCCACCCCATTAGACACCTGGTGAATAATGTCCGAGGCACAACGAGAGTTGTTTCCATGCACCAATCGTGTTGTGCCGTAAAGTGTGTCCATCACTCTACACCCCCAATCAGAGACCTGGCGACCAACAGCATCTCAGGACCCTTGCCTACTGGCCTAGGGGCCCTCTCCAACCTTATTACCCTGTATTTAAAAACTATATTGCATACTTCACCATGTGTCATGCTATTCCGTGCCATACCATGCTTCGTCGTTTCATCTTGCACATTTCTGTGTTCCGTCAATGTAGGAGGTGGTGCGGGTGTCTACCTTCGACTCTTCTTTGCTTGCTTGTTTGTTTGTTTGTTTGTTTGCTTCGTAACATCGCTGTATTTTGCATGCAAGTTGCTCCACAGTCTTTCACCTTCACACGGGTTTATTCCCCCGTGATATTCATGCCGGCATTTTGTTTCATGAATCTTGACTCATGCCACAACGCTGCTGCTGAATCAAAGAGCGGAAACGATGGAAAATGAAGGAAAAAATGCGATCGAAGGTGCCAGGTGGCAAAAGAGAAGGCTTCAACACAGATGGATGGATAGTGTGCCAGTCAGAGAAACACAGTCTGAAAGGAAAGTTAAGCCCGCAATGGGTAATCTACACAAGGTGACTTTTGAGTCGACTCAAAAACACAGTCTGAAAGGAAAGTTAAGCCCGCAATGGGTAATCTACACAAGGTGACTTTTGAGTCGACTCAAAAACACAGTCTGAAAGGAAAGTTAAGCCCGCAATGGGTAATCTACACAAGGTGACTTTTGAGTCGACTAAAAAACACAGTCTGAAAGGAAAGTTAAGCCCGCAATGGGTAATCTACACAAGGTGACTTTTGAGTCGACTAAAAAACACAGTCTGAAAGGAAAGTTAAGCCCGCAATGGGTAATCTACACAAGGTGACTTTTGAGTCGACTCAAAAACACAGTCTGAAAGGAAAGTTAAGCCCGCAATGGGTAATCTACACAAGGTGACTTTTGAGTCGACTCAAAAACACAGTCTGAAAGGAAAGTTAAGCCCGCAATGGGTAATCTACACAAGGTGACTTTTGAGTCGACTCAAAAACACAGTCTGAAAGGAAAGTTAAGCCCGCAATGGGTAATCTACACAAGGTGACTTTTGAGTCGACTAAAAAACACAGTCTGAAAGGAAAGTTAAGCCCGCAATGGGTAATCTACACAAGGTGACTTTTGAGTCGACTAAAAAACACAGTCTGAAAGGAAAGTTAAGCCCGCAATGGGTAATCTACACAAGGTGACTTTTGAGTCGACTAAAAAACACAGTCTGAAAGGAAAGTTAAGCCCACAATGGGTAATCTACACAAGGTGACTTTTGAGTCGACTCAAAAACACAGTCTGAAAGGAAAGTTAAGCCCGCAATGGGTAATCTACACAAGGTGACTTTTGAGTCGACTAAAAAACACAGTCTGAAAGGAAAGTTAAGCCCGCAATGGGTAATCTACACAAGGTGACTTTTGAGTCGACTAAAAAACACAGTCTGAAAGGAAAGTTAAGCCCGCAATGGGTAATCTACACAAGGTGACTTTTGAGTCGACTAAAAAACACAGTCTGAAAGGAAAGTTAAGCCCGCAATGGGTAATCTACACAAGGTGACTTTTGAGTCGACTAAAAAACACAGTCTGAAAGGAAAGTTAAGCCCGCAATGGGTAATCTACACAGTCTGACTCTGACCAGTACCCCTGAACTTGGTGGCAGTCAGAGAAACACTCGCCGCTGCTTAAACAAAGACTTTGTTGAGTTTTTTGGAAGCTGGATCTCGCGCTTCTGCATGCTGGCAGGTCCTTATATGACAATCAGCTCACGGGGGTTCTCCCTCCTTCCATGTGCAACCTCACCAAGCTAGAACGGCTGTACTACTTCCTTCTCTCTTTTTCTCCTTTTGACGCCATTTCCCATGCCTTGTTCTCTTCTGTATTCAAGCACGGCTGTGGTTATGCAATTAAGGTAAAGACTGTTTAGATGTTTAGATATCGCTTGTGTTTTGGACTGACCCTCTGTGTCTTCAGATGCTTGCTTGCAGGCTAAGCCCACTATGGATTCGTGCATGGCATACAATTCTCCTCTCCTCTCGCCTTTGCAGGTATCTTCGCAACAACAGTTTCTACGGAAAATTTCCGTCCTGCTTCTTCGAATACTGCTTGCACAAGATGTGAGTGACGGTCAAAATCGAATCAGTTCAGGTCGAGCAAAAGAACTCAATGTGACAACGTGGTTTTGCAACTTCAAAGCTTGGCCGATGCGAATTATGAGTTATGTCGAGCTCAACTGTGGTTGGCACGATTACCCACACCAAGCAAGCATAAGGCTGCGAACAAGCAGAACAAGCACTTGCGATTTTTCCCTTCACGCTTCCCACCCACTTTGCCTTCCTGTCCTCAGCGACATCAGCAACAACAGCTTCTATGGCCCCATCAATAGCAACTTCCGCAGCATGATTCCTGACAACGGCGCTGTGCTCAACATCGCAGGCAACTTCTTCTATGGCGACCCCATGCTCTACGCCGATGGCTGCCAGTTCTGCCCCTCGGGGGTCATCCAGAAGCCCCTCGTCTTGACACCAGCAGACCTCATCTACACTTCTGGTGGCCGCTGTGTCCCCGGAGGGGCAGGAGGATATGTTGAGATGACACGTGCAGGGGCCAACAAGAAGGGCGAGGCAAGTCTGCGGCGGAACTGTTTCACGCTGAGCAAGCAGATGGAGTGCACGGCGAACGAGACGCAGCGCAGCAGCGACGAGTGCCTGGCATTCTGCAGCTTGTCGCGGGAGCTGGGGCCGTGCGACGGGCACGGAGCGTGTGTGCCGCCGCAGGCTGGAGCAGCAGAGGCGCGCTTCACGTGTGAGTGCGACGACGGCTTCGTCCCCACCAACGGCACCCTCGGCTCCACCTGCGCCCGCCCTGCTCCGCCCCCTGCTGCTGGTATGCCCTGCTCCGCCCCCTGCTGCAGGTATGCCCTGCTCCACCCCCTGCTGCAGGTGTGCTACCTCTGTCATGGGCCTGGGAATTGCAGAAGGATGTGTTGCTTCTATTGTGGCTTAGAATGCTACCCATCTCAACATGTGTTGCTAGTTGGGACGCTGAATCTCCTCGTTTCAATTCTCCTCGCAAGGTCTCCGCCCCTCTTTGTTCTTCCCTTCACCTCTCCAGCGCTCTCCACGGGTGCAGTGGTGGGCATTGCTGTGGGCTCTGCTGCTGCCTTTGCTCTCCTCCTCACTCTCGTTGTCGCGCTGCTCTGGCCCCGCCAACGCCGTGAGTCTCCTCTCACCTCCAATTTCACTCTCCATCCATCCCATCAAGTCAATAGGAAGCACAGCTGCAGCACTAAACAGGACTCCTGCTTGTGTGACTAGCTGGTCGTTGAGAATTCTCAAAAGTGTTCAGTGTTGTGTGCTGATGAGCGCCCTGCTGCATGGTCTGTGGCATGGCATGCGGTGTGGCATGGCAGGGCGGTGGGGCGACCTGGACGTGTGTCAGGAGTTCAGCATGGGGGAGATCCTGCGGGCGACAGACAACTGGGCGAGCAGCAATGTGTTGGGAAAGGGCGGCTTTGCCACCGTCTACAAGGGCGTCTCCAGCAAGGGCGAGCTGTGGGCTGTCAAGCGCATCACACTCATGTCCAACGACTTTGAGACCGAGGTGAAGGGGAAAAAACTTCCTGAATAAAGTGAGGGGAGAATCTCTTTTTCTCAGATTGGCTGGCCTTTTTGGGAACAATCTCTGGCTTCATAGCCTCCCTGCCCCACCACGATAACATTTCTTGAAACCCTTCCTTTTTCTAGCTTGCCATATCCCCCCTTGAACCTTTTTCAGGTGCGGGCAATGGCGTCGCTGAGGCATGAGAATGTTCCATTAGCCTCCTTTTCTTCCCCTTTAACCCCCCACCTCCTCTGGCAGGTGCGGGCGATGGCGTCGCTGCGGCATGAGCACGTGGTGCGCCTGTTGGGCTTCTGCCTGCATCAGAACGTGGAGAGCGGCCAGCAGGAGCAGATCCTCGTCTACGAGTTCGTGCCCAACGGGGACCTCAAGTTCCACATCCATGATTCCAAGAGTAAGCTCTTTGATTAAGAAATTTATGTGAGCCCAACAGGGTCCTCAAGTACCGCATCCATGACTCTAAAGGTAGGCACTCCCTGCTTGGCCCAACTGGAACCTCAAGTACCACATCCATGATTCAAAGAGTAAGCTTTGTGAAGGAGAGATTTAAGTGAGCCCAACGACCTCAAGTTCCATATCCATGACTCTACATGTATGCATTTCCTCAAGTGTACGCATTTCCTACTTGCCACATTTGCTGCAAGAGATGCTGCTTTGCCACTCGCTCTCTTCAATCACGAATCTGTTCTTCGTCCTTCCCCCTCACCTTCCCCCTCACCTTCCCCCTCACCTTCCCCCTTCTCCTCCCCTCACCTTCCCCCTTCTCCTCCCCTCACCTTCCCCCTTCTCCTCTCCTCACCTTCCCCCTTCTCCTCCCCTCACCTTCCCCCTTCTCCTCCCCTCACCTTCCCCCTTCTCCTCCCCTCACCTTCCCCCTTCTCTACCCCCCAGCACCATTGACCCTGAAGCAGCGGCTGCAGCTGGCGGTGGGGGCAGCGGAGGGAGTGGCATATCTGCACATCTTCGCGACGCCCATCGTGCACCGCGACCTCAAGCCCGGCAACATCCTGGTGGGCGAGCACAACCAGGCCAAGATCGCCGACTTTGGGCTGCTCAAGCTGCTCACCCACGCAGAGGGCGATGGTGCCCACGACCGCACTCGAGTGGCCGGCACCCCGGGCTACCTCGACCCCGACTACAACCGCACGCAAGTCGTCTCCGACAAGAGCGACGTCTACAGGTGCCCACGCCTTGGCTGTGTTCCCACCCTTGCTGTGTTCCCTTGTGCGACATGTGATTGCCAGTTATGCATGCCATGCTGCAGATCAAAATCCGCCTTGGCCTCTCTCCCTATCCTGCAAATAAGGCAATTTCTCTCTCCTTGTTTCGCAATCTCCCTCATAATTCCTTGAAAGTTAATAGACGGTTTACAGTCAAGCAAACTCTGTTCTGCTCTGCCTTTGTAACTTCACTGGTATTTTTACTTCCTAATCTGTTCAGCTTTGGCGTGGTGCTTCTGGAGCTGCTGACAAGGCAGAAGGCAGCTGTGGAGGGCACCAACAGCCACATCAGTGACTGGGTGAGTTCATACAAGCACACATGCATGCAGGCTTGGTGGATTGACAGCACCCGTGATAAATTTCACTAGTTCTCATCCGCGCAAGGGCAGAAGCGAGGCTTATCGGGACGGGAACATGCACGACCCGCACTTCCAACCGCCTGCCCCTTTCTTATTCTGCGCCGCCTGCCTCCTCACTGCGTTCTCTTTCACCAAGCGTCCTGCACCCACTCCCGCAGAGTGCGTGCGCATTTTCATGTCCCATGTGTGTGAGCTCATTGTTCTCTTCCCCTCCCCCTCTCCCCCAAGCCGCCGTGCAAGATGCAGGTGTACGGGCTGGGCATTTACCAATCCTCCCTTGTTCTCTCCGCCCTCCCCTCCCAGGCAGCGCGCAAGGTGCAAGTGTATGGGCTGGCTGTCTCACAATCCTCCCTCATTCTCTCCCCCCATCGCCCCTACTCCCAGGCGGCGCGCAAGGTGCAGGTGTACGAGATGGGGGAGCTGAAGGACGCGGGGCTGGAGGCGCCGGACGAGGCGGTGGTGAAGCTGGCAGACATCGCACTGGACTGCCTCAAGATGCCCGCCTCCCGCCGCCCCCCCATGAAGGACGTCGCCCGCCGCCTCCAGAACATGCTCTCGCTCTACTGCAGCGATGGCGACCACTCTTCCGTTGTAGACCCCAGCCTGAGAATGGAGGGAGAGGATGTGAGGGGCGACGGTGGCAGCACGGACACGTTCGGGAGGAGCGAGTTGTCGGAGGGGACGAATGGAGTGTCTGCTTCCAAGAGTCTCATCCATTCGCTGTCGGAAAAGTGGCGGATGATTGAGTAGCACCAGCAGCAGAAAGAAATCCGGCATTGTTTGTGCTGTGCTGTGTCAACAATAAGTACACACCTTTCAGAATAATAAATAAATTCTAGGCAAAAGTATTTCTGTTATGTGAACCGGTTGTGTTTACCACCTAACAAGATGTTTCCTTGTGGAGCGTTCGAAAATGATCCACGGTTTGAGCTACCCACTGGATGCTGTGTTGGTGAGCCATCACAGTAACCCTGTCCTGGTAGGGACTCGCCTTGTCCCCACCTCAACTGTGTGACCCATTGGCATCCCTAGCCAAAGAGGCGTTTGGTTGGCATTGATTATTCAGCATGGTTCAATGTCGTACAATGCTTGAAGGCTCCACATAATGTTCAAACTGGTTAGGCCAAAATACCAACTGTCTAGACAGAAACGAACAAAACTTCTTAAAACAGGAATACCGTATTACCCCGGATATAAGCGCACCTGCGCTTATAATAAAACAGTGTTTTTTTGGGGGGTGCGCTTATAATTGAGTAAAAAATATAAGCGCATGCGCTTATAATATAACAAATACAAATATATATTTCAATGCACCAAATTGTACATCTCATCCTTCAGATTTCAATCGAATCGAAATTGTAGAAAGTCACATGTCAAAATCGCGCGCGGGCGATTCTTCGCGAGCGCCCAGAGGCAAAATACAGTGTAACACCTCACTTTGAGGGCGTGCCAGCTCGTGCTGACTGGACGCGCAGGATGTGAGAGGTCTTCGAAAGTCAATGTAAGCGAAAATGGGTTGTGGCCTCGCTGCAAAACTGAGATTCGTTACCGTTTTAATGAAGAATTATAAATAAAATTACACATGCGCTTATAATATATCAGGGTTTTATAAGGGGTGCGCTTATAATTGAGGATCGGCCATAAGCGCATTGCTCCAGATACAAGCGCATGCGCTTTTAATAGGCCTGCGCTTATATCCGGGGCCATACGGTACAAAAGGCATGCACAGAAAGGTGGTCAATAAGGGAAGAGAATCAGTGTCAAAGAGCTTCTGCCGGAGCTAATGATGTTGAAACCTCTCGAACCAATGCTACAATCCTTTGCAGCCCACTTTCCGATGCACTTCTTTCCTCAGCTCATGTGGCCAGACTTGATACCAGCCTAGCGACCGACACCACATGGCCTTTGCTCTGTGCAGCAAGGAACTGTTTGTTGGCGTGTTGCTACAGGTCCTTGTACCAGGAGGTGCCATGAAGACGTTTACAGAATGTTACAGCAGCCATAAAGTAGACTTTGTGTTTCTTCCATGCGGCCAGCTGCTTGCACCTGCAGAACACCTCACTCACCACCCTCACCACTCCTAAGCGCACAATCCACTTCAAATTCTCTTGTGCAATGTAGGCATGCCTCTTCCCTCATCGATGGTCTGTTCCTGGGAGATGGGGGAGGGACTGTCAAGATTAGGAAGATACATAAGCTACGAGAAACCCTAGCTTACCGTAGGAGCATAGAGATACGGTAGTTACGAAAGGGAAGGGGATGGCCAAAAGAGGGCTTCCCTATGAAGAGAGAAGAAACAAAAGGTGCACCACCTACTAGAAATGATACGATAACTATAGTAGGCTACACTACAGGGGATTATATAAAATGTATGCAAATTCATTCCAACAGGGACAACACAACACAATACACACACGACGGATAGGGCCGATAGTTGTTAGGAAGGGGGAGGTTAGGAGTAGGAAGATGTTTGGGAAACCCATCGCGCGGCCAATTTTTTTGTCTCGTCTCCCTCGCCGACAGCGGGATGGTTCCACCATTGGATCAATAGGGTCCTGCGCCAGCGTCACCTTCAGGTTCATTGTCATGTGTCTCAGTCGCGGGTATAAACAGGAGAAGAATACTCAAATGAGTTGTTTCACATGGACAGCATACGAGAGAGTGCGCCGGAGGAGCAGGAGGAGCGGGCGGCACTAGCGCTGCTAGCCGACTATTGTGTCATGGGTCAGGGCTCAGCCATGGGTAAGAAAGTACCTTGTGCTCGATTGTGGAAGGACCACAAAAGAGAATGAGTGCCTGGCAGTGTAGCCATGGCTTTCTCAACCACCGAAGGGTGAGAAATTCAAGCATTGTATGACATTAAACCACGTTGTATAATCAATGCCAACCAAACTCCTCTTTGTCTAAAGGTGCAATGAGTAACACAGTAGAGGTGGGGAGGTCAGTCCCTACCAAAAGGAGAAGGTTACGGTGATGCTCAACCATGGGTCATTCTCAAACCTTCCTAAAGCTCCACAAGGAAAAATCCTGTTCGGTGGTCAACAAAATCACATACCATAACAGACAAAATTTTGCCTAGAATGTAATGATTATTCTGAAAGGGGTGTACTTAATGTTGACACAGCACAGCACAAACAATGCCGGATTTCTTTCTGCTGCTGGTGCTACTCAATCATCCGCCACTTCTCCGACAGCGAATGGATGAGACTCTTGGACGCAGACGCTTTATTCGTCCCCTCCGACAACTCGCTCCTCCCGAACGTGTCCGTGCTGCCACCGTCGCCCCTCACATCCTCTCCTTCCATTCTCAGGCTGGGCTCTACAACGGCAGAGTGGTCGCCATCGCTGCAGTAGAGCGAGAGCATGTTCTGGAGGCGGCGGGCGACGTCCTTCATGGGGGGGCGGCGCGAGGCGGGCATCTTGAGGCAGTCCAGTGCGATGTCTGCCAGCTCCACCACCGCCTCGTCCGGCGCCTCCAGCCCCGCGTCCTTCAGCTCCCCCAATGAGTACACCTGCACCTTGCGCGCCGCCTGGGGGAGACGAGGGGGGAGAGAACAAGGGAGGACTGTGAAATGGCCAGCTCGTACACGTGCACCAGGGAAGAGGGCAACAAAACGACCAGCTCATACACTGTGACAGAAAAGTGGGGGTCTTGCACATGCGCGAGGGTGAGCGAGACAGTTTTTGAGCTGACACAGAGAACACGTGACGCAGCGATGAATGAGATCTCAAAGCCCTCCTCATCCTGAGAACTAATAGAATTCACCATGGGTGCTCTCCATTCGACCATGCATGCATACATGCACTCTGACAGTCACCGATATGGCTATCTGTGCTCTCCACAAGTGTTGGCTATCATGCATGCATGCACTCACCCAGTCACTGATGTGGCTGTCTGTGCCCTCTACCGCTGCCTTCTGCCTTGTTAGCAGCTCCAGCAGCACCACGCCAAAGCTGCTCCAACGACGGTGGGAGAACAGGGCCAAGAACGGATGAGAGAATATACAGCAGTGAAGTTTCTAGTGGATTGATCCTCTTGAATGTAAAGCATTCAAGGGTTTAAGCGGGAGATGCGAAACAGAATGGTTCACGACAGGCGAGGGAGAGAGTTCCAGCACTGCTTGCTTGACTGGCATTCATATATCCCACGAGTGACATTGCATTTCTGAGGCAAATCAGAAGTCAGCATTGCATTTCAGAGGCAAATCATAAGGCGCCATTGCATATTTGAGGCGAATCAAAAGGCGCCATTGCATTTCTGAGGCAAATCAGAAGGCGCCATTGCATTTTTTAACCCCCTCAAAAGGTGATGGCCGTTATTCACGTATCCCACGAGCCAAAGCGACAGAGTATTGGTGGCACATAGCCTAGGTGCACGCACCTGTAGACGTTGCTCTTTTCAGAAACGACTTGCGTGCGGTTGTAGTCGGGGTCGAGAACAGGGATGAGAACAGATGAGGAAATAAAGAATGAGGAAAACAAAAACGCAGGGAAGCTCCAGGGGATTGGTTTTGCAGAGCAGAGCTTTGCTGACTGTAAAACGTCCACTGGAATTCTGAGGGAGATTGCAGAATAAGAAAAGGCGGACTGCATAACAGACCGGGGAGAGGGAACAAGGCGAGGGAGGAGGATTTGACCTGCAGTGTTGCATATGCTTGATCGGAACTCACATGTCGCACAAGGGAGAAAAGCAGGGGTGGGGACACAGCAAAGGCGTGGGCACCTGTAGACATCGCTCTTGTCGGAGACGACTTGGGTAGTCCGGGTCAAGGTAGCCCGGGGTGACTTTGAGGCGCCTCAAAAGTCAACTTAGCAAGGGCGCATGCATGCACCTGTAGACGTCGCACCTGTAGACGTCGCACCTGTAGATGCCGCACCTGTAGACGTCGCACCTGTAGACGCCGCATCTGTAGACGTCGCACCTGTAGACGTCGCACCTGTAGACGCCGCACCTGTAGACGTCGCACCTGTAGACGTCGCACCTGTAGACGTCGCTCTTGTCGGAGACGACTTGCGTGCGGTTGTAGTCGGGGTCGAGGTAGCCCGGGGTGCCGGCCACTCGAGTGCGGTCGTGGGCACCATCGGCCTCTGCGTGGGTGAGCAGCTTGAGCAGCCCAAAGTCGGCGATCTTGGCCTGGTTGTGCTCGCCCACCAGGATGTTGCCGGGCTTGAGGTCGCGGTGCACGATGGGCGTCGCGAAGCTGTGCAGATATGCCACTCCCTCCGCTGCCCCCACCGCCAGCTGCAGCCGCTGCTGCAGGGTCAGGGGCGCTGGGGGAAGGAGCAAGGGGGAAGGAGAGGGGTGGAAAGAACAAAACCACGAGGAACAAATTCGTGATTGAAGAGAGCGAGTGGCAAAACATTTCGAGCAAAAGGTGTTGGCCCAAGAAGGGAGTGCACAATGTAGTACTTGAGAAGCACAAGGAGGGAGAGCGTGCACTTGGAGTCATGGATGTGGTACTTGAGGACCCTGTTGGGCTCACTTAAATTTCTTAATCAAAGAGCTTACTCTTGGAGTCATGGACGTGGTACTTGAGGTCCCCGTGGGAGAGCACATGCATTGGGAGCTTACTCTTGGAGTCATGGATGTGGTACTTGAGGTCCCTGTTGGGCAATCTATTCACTCATTGTGTAGGGAGGGAGAGACATACTCTTGCAGTCATGGATGTGGTACTTGAGGTCCCCGTTGGGCACGAACTCGTAGACGAGGATCTGCTCCTGCTGGCCGCTCTCCACGTTCTGATGCAGGCAGAAGCCCAACAGGCGCACCACGTGCTCATGCCGCAGCGACGCCATCGCCCGCACCTGCCAGAGGAGGTGGGGGGTTAAAGGGGAAGAAAAGGAGGCTAATGGAACATTCTCATGCCTCAGCGACGCCATTGCCCGCACCTGAAAAAGGTTCAAGGGGGGATATGGCAAGCTAGAAAAAGGAAGGGTTTCAAGAAATGTTATCGTGGTGGGGCAGGGAGGCTATGAAGCCAGAGATTGTTCCCAAAAAGGCCAGCCAATCTGAGAAAAAGAGATTCTCCCCTCACTTTATTCAGGAAGTTTTTTCCCCTTCACCTCGGTCTCAAAGTCGTTGGACATGAGTGTGATGCGCTTGACAGCCCACAGCTCGCCCTTGCTGGAGACGCCCTTGTAGACGGTGGCAAAGCCGCCCTTCCCCAACACATTGCCGCTCGCCCAGTTGTCTGTCGCCCGCAAAATCTCACCGATGCTGAACTCCTGACACACGTCCAGGTCGCTCCACCGCCCTGCCACAGCACAACACCCAATGCTTTTGAGAATCCTCATTGACCGTCACACAAACACGGATCTTGTTCGGAATGACTTTGAATGATGGATGGATATTTGGAAAAATGGGAGGTGGGGAGAATCTTACTGCGTTGGCGGGGCCAGAGCAGCGCGACAACGAGAGCGAGGAGGAGAGCAAAGGCAGCAGCAGAGCCCACAGCGATGCCCACCACTGCACCCGTGGAGAGCGCTGGAGAGGCGAGGGTGGAAGAACAAGGAGGCAAGACGGAGTTTGGGAAGAAAGAGCTTGGGGAGAGCTTGGCAAAAAGGATTCACCTCCACAACTAACCGCACATGTTAAGATGGCAACTTCTTGCAAACAGCACATTCTTGTGCCATTCCCTGGCTGGTCCATAAGAGAGCATACCAGCAGCAGGGGGCGGAGCAGGGCATACCTGCAGCAGGGGGCGGAGCAGGGCATACCAGCAGCAGGGGGCGGAGCAGTGCATACCAGCAGCAGGGGGCGGAGCAGGGCATACCAGCAGCAGGGGGCGGAGCAGGGCGGGCGCAGGTGGAGCCGAGGGTGCCGTTGGTGGGGACGAAGCCGTCGTCGCACTCACACGTGAAGCGCGCCTCTGCTGCTCCCGCCTGCAGCGGCACACACGCGCCGTGCCCGTCGCACGGCCCCAGCTCCCGCGACATGCTGCAGAATGCCAGGCACTCGTCGCTGCTGCGCTGCGTCTCGTTCGCCGTGCACTCCATATCCTGGTTCAGGGTGAAACAGTTCCGCCGAAAACTTGCCTCGCCCCGCTTGTCTGCTCCTTGATTTTTCTGGGTGATCAAACTTTGCATGTCATGAAATGCACAGCGACTTTCCCCTGGAAAATGTAATTCACGTATGTCCAAGAGATGAGACTGGGTGATATGGGAGGGGCAGAACTGGCAGCCATCGGCGTAGAGCATGGGGTCGCCATAGAAGAAGTTGCCTGCGATGTTGAGCAGAGCGCCGTTGTCAGGAATCATGCTGCGGAAGTTGCTGTTGATGGGGCCGTAGAAGCTGTTGTTGCTGATGTCACTGGAGGGAGTGGAGGGCAGTGGACACGGCAACAGGCGGAAACAAGTTTGGTGTGAGCATTGCGTATCATCCAGTGTCATCCTTTGTTGTTCATATTTCCTAAGCTTATTCGCACACGATTATTTGCGTAGATGGCAATAAAAAAAAAAAACAGGTGAATGGGTCAAGGCACTGCTCGCTGCTCACATTCGGTGCAGACAATGTTCAAAGAGGCAGGACGGAAACTTTCCGTAAAAGTAGTTGTTGTGGAGAAACCTGAAAGCAACAAAAATGTGTGTCTTAACATGAGTGATTGACAAAATAAAAACAAAACCAGAAGAATTAGGGCTTCTGACACAAGAGGATGGCCAAGCACAGGAAACTCTAGTGTAAAACGGAAAAAAAGAAAGAAAGAAAGGAAAAAAAAACATTTCTTTTGCGAACAGATGCGATCTGCATTAATCAAGGCTGGTGAACGAAGCAACTGCGCACAGTTGGTTACGCAGTAAAGTTGAATTAAGTGGCAAACTGTGGCTTGGTTAAAAGGCAAGGCATGGCTTGGTCGGAAATCCTTACATGGTCTGCAAGTTAGTGAGGTTGCATATGGACAAAGGAAGCTTTCCAGTAAGCTGGTTTTCAAAAACAGACCTGCCGCCAACATGCAGACGCAGATGATGTGAGAGAAGTATGAGTGAGCAGAAATAATTCGGCAGAGGAAGAAGAAAAGAAAGTAGCTGCACACAGAATTTGAGAGTGTGTCTGGAACTCTATGGCAACGAAACTATATTCCGTATGAGAGTCATCAACATTCATCTGCTATTATCAAAGCAAGATTACAATCGGTATGTAATCTCACAGAGTATGGAGGTTAGAAAGGGCGCCAAGGGCAGAGGGTAACGACCCTGAGATGCTGTTTGAAGCAAGGTCTCTAGTGGAAGACACCCAGAGGGGTTACAGGGTGACACAGCAATGCGAATGAAGAATGCATTACTATAAAATCTGGCTCACAGATACATCCAGATCCATACACGCGCCAACCAGAGCAGCAGTACAGTAATTAAAAAAAAAGAACCGAGAGCAAAGCAGAATTATGTTACAATGCCTTGGTAATGAGCTGGGAACAAAGTGGCATGAAGTTCCTTAGAACTGGTAAAGAATTGGGAGCAAAGTCGCATTCCATAACATGTCCACAAGTTTTCAGACGTCTAAAAAATGCAACATTGCATACATGGAGCGAAAGTTGGTCAAGGTTAGCAGCGATGTAGGAAAGCTTCCGGTGAGCTGATTGTTGCGCAGTGAACTACAGGAATTGCAGGAATGGGATGGGGTATGGATGGATGACAAGGGCAAGTAGCAAAGCAAACCATCATGTTTCGCTTCACACACCAGCTGCTGTGGCACGGGCATACCATCTGTCAAAACCCTACCTGTTAGGCTAGTTTCCTCTCTGTATGTGAATCTGGCCTTATACTATTTTCTTGGCCAGTTTTTACACTTGGTGTCATTTCAGGTTCAGTTTAGGTTCATTTTGAGGCTTGTTCTTAGGCTGAACGCGCCCTAAGTTGTATTAGGGCTTTCCCACCTTCTTCAAATGTATCTCGAGACTCTTTTTCTAATACAAAAACTCCTTTTTTCTCTCGCCATCCATGGTTTCTAAGCTCATCTCAAAACTACTGTAAAGAGGCATCTCAATCCTGGTGAACCTGCATATTTCCTCTCCGCTGCTACTCGATTCTGTACCAAGCTATCAAAGAGCCTCTACATATCTTGGAGCCTCAGCAGAACAAAATACTCAAATGAACCGAGCCAAAGACATATATGGCGTAAATACCGTCTTGCATCTTCAGAGAACAAAGAACCACGTATTCCCAAGCCTAAGCTGTGGTAATGCCTGCCACAATCATCACAAAAGCCATTGGATTACCGCCCAAGGAACCTCACTCACAGGGCAGTCAAGGAGGTGAGAGAGCTGATCGAATCTGGAACAGACCCTGTGAATTTGTTATCTCCTAGCATTCTGCTCACACATGGGGCCAATTAAAAAGCAATACCACTTGAAATATCATACTCACTAAACTTAGAAAGGAGGGAGGGAGAAGGAGGAGAGAAGGGGGGAGAATGGGAGAAAACGGGAGCTGCTTCTATTTTTCAATGCTCTTCAAGTTGTTGGTAAGAAAACATCTTGCATGTTTTGGGGAGCTGTTAGTCAATGTGGAAGCCAATTCTAGTTTTAAAAGTTTTCAGGTTGTTGGTATGTGGCCGGCTTACATCATGGCAATTGGCGCCTTCCAGAGGGAAAAATCAGGAAGAGGGCCTGAAAGCTGATTCCCTTGAATGTTCCTGCCAGCCATTCAGTGTTCAGTCAACATGTGAAGATTTAGCAGACACACTTGTCACGTGCGACAAAGATATCAATTCAGCAAGGGCAAAGGTGTTGCAGTGCTGTGCTGATGGATGGATCATGGATGTGTGACAAAACTTACAGCAAGATGAGGGAACTATGTGAGAAGGCTGGCAAGCTTCCGCTCAGATGGTTGTGTTCCAAGCTTCTGATTGATGGGCAATGTGCATAGAAACCACAACAAAATGGGAGAACAGAAACAAATCCAGCACATGGGCTTTCCTTTTGCCTGTCTGGTCCAATTCAAAGTGGTTCGAGAGGCCCTTGTCAAAGCGTGTCCCAACTGAACCGATTCGCCATGATTTTCCATTCCTGCGGAACTGGGCGCACTGAGGTTTGGGTTGTATATACGGGCCCGGCTGGTAGCACCACTACGAAGTCTGAACAGTGGATTAGGGCAGGGGCAGCAATAATCAAAACACAATCAGAGGCGAATGCAAGTGGGAGATGCATCAACCTAAAACACCAGGCGGGCTCCCGTCTTTAGGGTTGCTTGCTCCCAAAAATGCGTCCAGGTTTTCTTGGGGTTTCGGTTTTTTTCGGCCCTGCCTAAAAGGACCGGTACTGTCGTCAAGTGGCCCGCCCGCAGTGCCACTGGCTTGCTTAACGGCACTACCAGTCCGTATATATCAATGCGGAGCTACAAAGGCTCCAGCTCATTTTTCGATTCCTTTTTTTTTGCTTAGGGTAGGGTGTGCAAAAATTCGAACAGCTTGAGTCTAACCAAACAACTTCTTCCATTAGGGTAGGGCTGAGCCCAAACCCGAACAGTTTGAGATCAATCGAACAACTTCTTTCTCGCCTCAAGGTGGGGTTGAGCATAAATCTAAACAGTTCGAGTCTAACCGAACAACTTCCTCTTCGCCTTAGGGTAGGGCTGGGCAAAAACCCGAAGAGTTTGAGCCAAACCAAACAGAGCCATTTTTTCAAGATGCGCTGAACCTAACGTGCTTGATGTGCTAAAATGCGCGTGAAACAGTTGAACTACACACGGGACTGGGGTTGCGGAAGCTGCTCGTTTAGGTTCAAAGTCATTTTTTTTTAAAGCTTTAAGCACAACCTAGTGTCTAGACCATTCTGTCTGCCCTTCTTCTTACCCTCCAAGTATTGTCAAATACGGACCGATAAGGACCATTTCGCACTTCCTCCTACCCATTTTGCTCGCCCCAGCCCAGTACAGGTCAGGTCGGGTTGGGCCACCTCCGGATCAGACCCTCAGGGTTGGTTAGCTGGTCCGCTCTGTTAGGGGCAGGTTGGGTCGACCCGTCCAGCAATCTGTCCCCGGGTCGGGTCATAGGACCTGCCCATTTATGCCACGCATTTAGCAAGGGGGTGGTTGCGCACGTAGCAGGGTGGGCAGTGCGTGTAGCGGGGGGGCTCTACACTAGCAGGTGGAGGCGCAGGAGATCACCGATCTGCCAACCATTCTTCTTCCCCCACTCTGCTCTGCTGCCACATGTTGTAGAAGCCAATGCAACGAGTGTGACTTAACTCGAAACATGGCAGAAAAAGGCATAACATCATGACGAATATATGAGCGAATTCTAGCCTCCTCCAACACACCCCGGGCTAGGTGAAGCTCTACAGAGGAACACGTAGCACACAGGAACACCATATGAAGTGGAAAGACGTGGACCAACACCCAGGATGAATTCTGCTGCTATAACATGGACAGTTCCTTTCGTAAGTATAAGGAGGCTTAGTGGGAATATACGCGTATAGCGTATATACGCGTATCGTATATACGCCAACGTATATACACTAAACGCTGAAGGATCAGCTTTGGGAATCCGCTTTTTCGGGCAGGAAAAAAAATCCCGGGCAGGGTGAAAAACAATGTCGTGCTCAACATCGGGAAGGTATTCCATATTCTCACTAAGAATTTCGTAGCATTCTCCTAAGTCTGAACTTCGATTAGGGTTGGATGTGTAGTAGACACTATCGCTAGAAGGAAAAGTAGGAATCGGGATGAGCTCTGTTGGGAAGCGGGAAATGTCGAGTGCAGTTGGGCTGGCTGGTTAGTAGCGTGAGTGGGGTTTGTTGGGGGGACGTTTTTGACAGGTTGGAGTTCGTAGATGGGATGGATTTCAATGCGGTACTAATCAAAATTGTAGATCTGAACTGCCAGATGCGATTGTAAGGCACATTCCCGCTTCCCTACAACCCCGAATTGCACCTCGACCTCGGCGAAATGCTTACCAGGAGATTCCGCATCTTTCCGTATACACACGATTTTTTTCCCGGGCAGCCCCTAAAAAAATCTGAAGCGTATAGCGTATTAGCTAGCGTATAGCGTTTTGCGTATGAACGCAAGCGTATATACGCTATACGCTTTAGGTTCTGAGCGTATATTCCCACTAAGGAGGGGCCTGTTACAGTGCTCTGATACACCAGGCGATGCTGGGAAGCAATTTCTTTGCTCACAGAAGCATCTACAAAATGAAAATGTATGGCTTTCAGCTGACAGAAAAACACCATTTTTTTCCCAAAAGGTACCGTAAAATGCAAGATACGAGATGCATCATGCATGATGCACATGTATATGATGCGTGATGCATCATGCAATCATCTCAGCTTACATATCCATTAATGGAAGTGACAACAACGCTGGTGGAATCCCCCCGTGGAAGTTGTTTCGGCCAAGATTTCTGAAATTAGAGCAGAAGGAAGCATCTGATTGTGCAAAGCCATCATACACACATGATATACTACGTGCATTTTCCCAATTCTTGAGAAGTCCAGAAATAGGCTTCTCAATATGCATGATAAAAGGCACGTAGTTTTCAGCTTCAATTGTGTGCTGAATCACACTGATTGCACTAATGGTGATAAAATGAGAAAATATAATACTATTGCCTCATAACCTGGTATGTCCACTATTGTTTACTTAGTATTCCTTCTTGAGTCGCACCTCACAAGGACACACCCCCAAGTCTTTTTAACAAACGAATCCAATTTGCCTTGTAAGTCTCACTCATGAGGTGCACTACTTCGCGCACCCAAGCTGCAGCATCCGTACTGATTAGGCATTCATGGTTTTTTTTTAACAAATTCTGTGTCACAGGAACAGGACACTGACAAAGTTTGCAGGTTTATCATTGTAGAGATGTCACTGGGAATGGTCCCATGAAATGAATTCTGGCTGATGTCTCTGTGATGAAAAGCGAAAATCAGAAGAGGGGTGAAGTTGGGGAACATAGATGCCTTTGATACAGAATGGGTGCTCAGTCAAGAGAACGGTTGGATTGAGAGCAGCAAACATAGAAAGAGTAGAGAAAACAATGCTGCATACATAGAAACGCGTAGTTGTACAGCTAAGTGACTGGAAGTTAGGAGCACGGGCCGGAACCGGGCCGGCATGGGTCAGAGATCAGGGCGGGCCAGCCAGCCATGTCGACGGGCCAACCGTATTGGCGGGCCAACCGTGTTGGCGGGCCAGCTGTGTTGACGGTCCGGGCCCAAGGTGGCCCAGGTTGGGCAGGCCTGTTGTGCAAGCAAGAATGTCCCAGTGGGTAGATTCTCACCTTTGGTCTTAGAGGTCGTGGGTTCAACTCTCAGGAGCTGCACTCTTTCTTCTCATTATGCCCAACATGACATTCCCACACTCCACCACACTCACCCACAGTGAAGTGTGGTCACAGTTGGCTTTGCCATCTGTCCACTCATCCCATACTCACCTTGCTGGCCCCTATGGTGTGCCACATGCTGCCATGTAGGCTGTTGTTCCAGCCTGGCCCACATGTGCAACATGTGGCCTCAGTTGCTAGCTTGGCAAGGTTGGCTAGCCTTGCCCTCAGCTTTGAGGTGCTGCAACTAGCCTCAAGAGTTCAGCCACATATATGTGGCTTCCCACTTCTCTAGAACTCATCCTTGGTTAAGGACATTGCTCTAGCCTCTCCGGCTTGTACCATCTTCCTACTAAGGATATATTGTTCTTCTTTCATTGTGCCTTAAGTTCACCGATCCTCATTCTACATGCTATCAGAGCCAAGCTTCTAGCTTAGTGAACGTTGCACACTTGATGGCTCAAGTTGAAACGCCTCTCGGTCGGCACACCCTTCCCATCTTGGAACCAGATGGTTCCAACTTTATTCCATGGAAGAAAAAGATCTGCTACGTCTTCAACGTCCTTCAATTTCGTCTTCCACAACCAGCGGTGGAGAGGCTACCGAAGGCAACAGCGGTGCCGCCCCTAAAACAGCCCATTCAATTGCTTCGCTGCCGGATGAAGAAAAAGAGGAGCATGCATACTATCTTCTCATGTCGGCCGTCCATCCTCAACTATCGCTCACTCTTGCTCAAGCCAACACGACAAAGGATATGTGGGGATGCATCATGGCACGGTTCGACTGCATGGGCAACCATGCACAAGTGGCTCTCCTCCGAGATCTCATCACTACACGGATGGACCCAACAACAAGTCTTCGCTCCTACTTCGATCGAGTTGGAAACCTTACACACCAGCTCAAATCTGCCAGCTTCGAGTTACCATCATGGGTGGTGGTAATCTCCATCATCCTCAATCTTCCGGACTTGTTCAAGACTCTTACTGAAACCATTTGCACCGTGAAAGACATCAAGTCTATGACGGTTGAATACCTACAGTCACGCCTAATCGATGCCGATTGGGAGCGGTCACAATCTGGTACGAGCCGCAATATGGAGGGTGCATACAACCTCAATTCCCAACCCTCCCACCCTCTTCGCTCTGGCTCCCGCCAGTCACCTACCTGCCGTTACTGCAAGGAAACTGGTCACACCATTGAGGAATGCTTCAAATTGAAGAAGAAGAAGAAGAAAGAGCTCGAAGAAAGCTCTAAACGGGAGAAATCCCACATCCAGCCTTCGGTGCATGTCTCCACCAGCTCCTCTGCTGAAATGACTCTGACCCCCACACCACCTCCTGCCCCATCAGCCCCTCAATCTGTACCTGATTCCCGGGACGTTGACAATGCTGTCAGCACCAGCCACCATCCCATCTTCTCAACATGGACTCCTCTCGTCGCTGCTGTCTTCATTTTCACCATCCTCCTCCTCCTCCTCTTCCCTTATGGGGCTCCCTACACATCGGCATTCACGGCCTCCTCATCCAATATGGACCGGACTTCGTCATGGTTGGTAGACAGCGGCGCATCCTCCCATATCTGCTCGGATCGTTCGCTGTTTTCGTCTCTCCATAAGCCAAACGAAGATATCCTTGTTCGTTTTGGTGGTGGAGAGACTTACAAGGTCTTGGGAGTCGGCACTGTGGTGGCTACTCTTCGGTCACAAACATCGAAAACCACCATTCAGCTGGACAACGTTCTATTTCTCCCTTCATCGGTTCACAACCTGCTCTCTGTTCGTGCACTTGGTGCTGCCGACGTTGCCGTCTCGTTCCCCGCTGTTGGGCGCGTTGTTCTCACAGCTGATGACGCTCCTATTGGCGAGGGTTATACCCGCAACCTGTTTTATCTTCAATTGCATCATGGGAGCAGTGCTGCTCCTTCTATCAAGCCACGACATGTCCAGTCTCCACCACCACCTCCTCGTACCTCTGGCATCGTCGATTATCTCAACATGCAGGATTTGTCAACACTTCATCGGCGGCAGCTGGTCACCGGTCTTAACCTCACCTCCACCTCGATTCCCCACTGCATCTCGTGCTATCGTGGGAAACAAACACGTCAACCGTTTAGCGTTTCTCGCACCACAGCACCACTCCAACTCATTCACTCCGATATTGCTGGACCGTTGTCCTATGGAACTACCATTGGCGGCGCTCGCTACCTTCTCACCTTCATCGACGACTATTCCCACCACATTACCGTGTATCTCCTACGCCACCGATCGGAGGCACTTTCTTGCTTCAAGGCTTACGTCACTCGGGTGCACAACATGCATTCCCCAAACACCATCAAAGCCTTTCGCTCCGACGGTGCCTTGGAGTTCACTTCTGCAGCCTTCACTTCATTCCTTACAGCTCATGGCATCGTTCGCCATCGCTCTACGCCATACACACCTGAGCAAAATGGAGTAGCTGAGCGCGCCAACCGGACTTTACTTGAGATGGTTCGTTCCATGCTACATGATGCACACATGGACAAAGGCTGGTGGGGTGAAGCCGCTCTTACTGCTGCCTATCTCCGTAATCATGCCATTAGTCGGGGTGGTTCACCTTCTAAGACTCCCATGGAACTATGGACCAGTGCATGTCCGGATGTATCACACCTCCGCATCTTCGGTTCACCCGTCTTGGTCCTCATTCCTTCCCAACGGCGTTCTAAGCTTGACGACCGCAGCACGGCCGACATCATGGTTGGATATGGTCATCTTGACGGCACCAAAGCTTACCGCATCTATACCCCATCTCAGCACCGTGTCATACTTTCTCGTGATGTCATCTTCATGGAACCCTCTTCACCACCTTCCGACGATCCTCGAGACCCTCCATCGTCATCTCCACCCACATCATCCTCACCACCTCCTCCTCCACACCCTTCTTCCTTGGCCCCAACCTCCCCTCCCTCTCCTTCCCCCACCATACCCTCCTCCACCAACCCCCACCCACAATCCCCAAATCTGCCCGCACCAGCCACATCTTCTCCTCCTCCATTGTTTTCCAACCTTCTTCTGCCCTCGATGCCGCAAGACTTTCACCTTCCATCCTTCTCTCCTCCCTCTTCGCCTCCTCCTCCCCATTGCACGACTCGCTCCTCACCACCATCCCCTTCAGATCTTCACGATCCTTCCCTTTTCTCCTTGCTCAAGGTCTTACCATCCCCTTCCGAGCCCATTGACTCCACTCTTCCTCCTCTTTCCAAAACCTCCGCCAATGCTGCCCTTCATCATCATTACGAACCTCAAACCATTCATGAGGCTCGTACCGGTCCTGATGCTGCTGAATGGATCCAGGCTGCTGATGCGGAACTCGCTGCCCTGCACGCTAATGACACCTACAGCATTGTTCCTCGACCACCCAAGTGCAAGCCGATTCCATGCGAATGGATTTTCAAGGTCAAGGAGCATGCTGATGGTTCTATTGAACGCTACAAAGCCCGCCTTGTTGTCAAAGGCTTCAAGCAACGTGATGGTGTTGATTTTTATGACACCTTTGCTCCTACAGTCCACTTCGCCACCCTCCGTTGTTTCTCACCATAGCTGCCGCTTTCAACCTGGAAGTCCACCAGCTGGACATCTCCAACGCCTTCCTCAACGGCACCCTTGATGAGATTCTCTACATGATGCAGCCTCCCGCTTATGAACTTCCGGCGGTCCATGGTGTTGAGCAAGTTTGTCTTTTTCACAAACCGCTGTACGGGTTGAAGAAAGCACTGCGATGCTGGTACCGCAAGCTTCGTGAGGAGCTTGCTGCCTTTCACCTCTTTGCTGCTCGTGCGGACCCCGGCCTCTTCATTGCTCCTCCTCACTCTCATTATCGGCCTACAGCTGCATCCTTCTTCATGCTTCTCGTCTATGTTGACGATCTCATCATTGTCTCTTCCACCTCCTCTCTTCTTGCCTCATTCAAGCATGCCCTTTCATCTCGCTTCAAACTTCGTGATCTCGGACCTCTTTCCTACTACCTTGGCTTTCACATCACTCGTGATCGAACCTCCCGCACTCTCCACCTTCATCAATCCAAATTCATCACCTCCATTCTAGACACCTACTCATTCTCTCCACTAAACCCCGCTGCCACTCCCATGGACACAAAGTTTCAGCCACCCGTGACTTCCTCCCCGCCCTCCTCCTCCTTCCCTTACACCTCGTTTGTCGGATCCATCATGTATGCCATGGTGGGGACCCGTCCCGACCTTGCATATAGCGCTGGAGTTCTTGCTCGTCACCTTCACGATTGGTGTACTCCTCACGTCTCAGCTGCCAAACGCATTGCTCGCTACTTGAAAGAGACTATTTCCCTTGGGCTTCTCCTTGGTGGCATTCCCGACACCCTCGAACTTCATGGCTGGTGTGATGCCTCTTGGGGACCAGATGGGGAGCTACGACGCTCCGTTACGTGCTACTTGTTCTTCCTCGGTCCGTCACCCATCTCTTGGCAGTCCAAACTCCAAGCTGTCGTTGCTACCTCTTCATGTGAAGCTGAATATTACTCTTTGGGCGACGCGGTGCATGAGGCATTATGGCTTCGTTCACTCCTTACTACAGTTGGGCTTCCCCCAACCGGCCCCACCCGTATCTCGTGTGACAACAACAGTGCCATCATTCTCGCCAAGGACGATGGCGTTTTTCATCCCAAGGCCAAGCACATCGACATCAAGTACCATTTCATTCGCGATCATGTTGCCGACCACTCCGTCACCCTTCACTATGTTCCTACTCAAGACAACCTCGCTGACATTGGCACCAAACCTTTGCCCCGTGACCCTTTTCTTCGCATCCGTGGTCTTCTCGGTCTCACCCATGTTTCCTCTTGAAGAACCCTACCCCGGGGACATCCTTGAGGGGGGGTGTTGTGCAAGCAAGAATGTCCCAGTGGGTAGATTCTCACCTTTGGTCTTAGAGGTCGAGGGTTCAACTCTCAAGAGCTGCACTCTCTCTTCTCATTATGCCCAACATGACATTCCCACACTCCACCACACTCACCCACAGTGAAGTGTGGTCACAGTTGGCTTTGCCATCTGTCCACTCATCCCATACTCACCTTGCTGGCCCCTATGGTGTGCCATATGCTGCCATGTAGGCTGTTGTTCCAGCCTGGCCCACATGTGCAACATGTGGCCTCAGTTGCTAGCTTGGAAAGGTTGGCTAGCCTTGCCCTCAGCTTTGAGGTGCTGCAGCTAGCCTCAAGAGTTCAGCCACATATATGTGGCTTCCCACTTCTCTAGAACTCATCCTTGGTTAAGGACATTGCTCTAGCCTCCCAGCTTGTACCATCTTCCTACTAAGGATATATTGTTCTTCTCTCATTGTGCCTTAAGTTCACCGATCCTCTTTCTACAAGGCCCAGCATGGTCGTCCACCCGTGGTCCAGAGAAATGTGACGGTCCAATGCCGACCCAGTCCAGGTTGACTGACCGTGCCTGAGGGCGGGCTGGTCCTGCCCGACCGCCATATCACGTGCTAGAGTTGCTGCGGATGCTAGACGCTTGTCAACAGTTCAACATGTGCTAAGTCAGGGTACATTCTGGGCTCTGGTCAAACCTCTGATTGATTGTGCTTGTGACCCGAAATAATACCTATTTCCTACTGATTGTGCTATTTTTCCAGTGGGCGAGTGTTGTTGACCAGAGGTCTGACCAGAGCCCGGAACGTACCCTCACTCGGCGAGTTAATCTTGCCTCGTTTGTAGCATCGCTCGGCTGAGTAGCGGTACGAGCCGAGTAAAACAGTTGAGTTCACCATGTGCGAGTTTTGGATGTCCCTTTGCCTGGTGGTGACAGGTCACACACCTATTGATTCATTTTTTTCCAATCAGCTTGTGCGTTCTTCAACATCTTCTCATCCTAATTTAACGTACGTATTCTCAACTCGTTAGTATGCAATGCGCAAGCACTTTGAAGCAATTTTTCCAGCTTAGCTAAACGCTAGCATGGAAATGTGTTTGTGGTCACTTTGAAATATTCAACACCATATAATCGAATGCCACCAATACAAAACACATTGATCAGGAGGCTAAGAGGCAAGATTCGCCCCCTTTACATGCAGGAACATACAGAGAAAAAAGGTTGGTGAGCTTCAACAGGACTGTGGGGAATGGTCCTTGGAGATTGTTGCCTTGCAAAGTCCTGAACAGGTAAGGAGGTTTATGGTGGCGTGGGGTGTTGGAAGGTTACGTGAAGCGACATACGGAGTGCCTATTCCGTGTGAAGTAAAGAGAATAATGGCATGGGTTTTGAAGCAGTCAAAGGACAGTTAGTTGGTAAACACACTATAATAAAGAACAGTTTGCTCATGTCTAATATTGATTATTAGTCACAATGCTTACAGGAATAGCACTGTCTAATATCGAGTATTTGTCACCATGCTTACAAGAATAGCACTGTCCGATATCGAGTATTTGTCACCATGCTTACAAGAACAGCACTGCAACCAAGCAACTTACAAAAGATTGAGCTGTGAAAGGGAGGAAAGGCTTGAATAGCCATGTGTGAAGTTGTTGAACGATACATCCCTGCAACCACACCGCGTGCAAGACAACTATAAAAACAAATCCATGTGCATCACGCTATCTTGGAGAGAACACACCAATAGATGGTAATGAAAAACGAACGTTCAGGCATGATACCAAGAAACGGCAAGACCTGCAACACAAATCCATAACATTGTGCTTAGCTCTGGATGGGTTCAGAGCTCACAGCTTTGAGCGGCAAATACTGCTAGAAAGAAGCCAAGCCAGCATACCAAGTCCCACAACTCGCAAGTATTTCTGAGGCCCCTCACAAAATGAGCGACGTACAATGAAATCAACCATGTCATCTTGCCAAGGACCTCAAGCCCTGAGCTTAACTGGTTGGATTGGATAAGTCTGAAACAGCCAAGCACACGAGGAACCAAGCATTGAGAGGCAAGAGCAAGGGTAAGGAAAGATGGTGGAGGACGGAATCGGCATGAGTTGGGCCCAGGCCAGATCCGCAAACCAGGGCTGTGACTCGGGCCATAGCCGGACTGAAGCAGGCCTATTGTGTGAACATCAACCCTGAGCTTAACTGGTTGGATTGAAGCGCTTTAAACAGACAAGAGCATCAAGAAGCAAGCATTGGGACGCAAGAGAGCAAGGGCAAGGAGGGGCGAAGGAGGAGAGAATGGAGGATGGAAACGAAGGTGTCACCCTGCACACAGCACAGCACTCTGGTTTTATAAAGATTGAGAAACAGCTTTATATCTTTTAATCACTCGTTCGCATGTCATTCGGACGGGGCACTGTATCCAAACAGCTTTTGAGTCGACTCAAAAGCACTGTATCCAAACAGCTTTTGAGTCGACTCAAAAGCACTGTATCCAAACAGCTTTTGAGTCGACTCAAAAGCACTGTATCCAAACAGCTTTTGAGTCGACTCAAAAGCACTGTATCCAAACAGCTTCGAGTCCAAGACTCACATGCGCATAGAGCAGCCACAAAGACTTATCCTGGATTACTATCTATGGCAGTATCCACTTGAGTCCGTGATTATCGAACCATCCTCTCCGACCCATATCTTTCTGATGTTGGTAAAGGAACCCTAGATGTCTAATCAATCGATTTGGGCTCAAGTTCATAGAGTATGTAGCCAGGCGGTGCAGTTGAGGCATGCATGTGTCCCCAACCTCATCTTCGTCAAGTTAAAGCCTCAGGTCAATAGTGGTGGTGATAAAACTACTCCAGCAGATTCTACGCAGGATATAATCCGCCTACACCTCCCTTCCCCCTTCCCCCACTCCCCACCTTCTTGCCCCTTGTTGAGGCTGGGTCGTCATGAAGTTCCCTTTGTTACTGCAACTCATTCAGTCACACACTGAACTTCTTACCTCAACGATTGCAGCAGTAGCGTTTGCTGCAGGACCAGTGCAAGACCGTGCTTACAAGAGAATCAGATTCACAAGGCTCGTGAGCGAGGTTGGCACAGCCCCTGAGAAGTTGTTCATAGAGAGGTCCCTTGGGGAACGGAAGGGCACAAAAGTACAAGCAACACTTATGGCATATAACTGAACATGAGATGGGAAAGTTTGGTGAACGAATTCGGCACGGCCCTGAGAACTTGTTCATAGAGAGGTCCCTTGGGGAATGGCGGGGCGAGGAGAGGAATGGTGGGAGTGGAGATGGAGAACTGATGGTAGCCTTTGATGCGCCCCAAAAGTAGACGCATCAGGAATTCAACTCTACAATAATAATGAATGGCACTGCAGCTAAGGAATGGCACTGCAGCTAAGGAATGGCACTGCAGCTAAGGAAAGGCACTGCAGCTAAGGAATGGCACTGCAGCTAAGGAATAGAACTGCAGCTAAGGAATGGCACTGCAGCTAAGGAATGGCACTGCAGCTAAGGAATGGCATTGCAGCTAAGGAATGGCACTGCAGCTAAGGCATGGCATTGCAGCTAAGGAATGGCACTGCAGCTAAGGAATGGCACTGCAGCTAAGGAATGGCACTGCAGCTAAGGAATGGCATTGCAGCTTGGATGTATGGTTCGGCATATGGATGAATCCACTAGTTACGACATATGGACGAACCCTCATTTGTAGTATTTTAGTTATCACTCGCAACAGACGGGCAGATACTCACAAGCGTGTGAGGTCGGACAAAGTGTCAAGGAAGGGGGGAATGCTGCCAGAGAATTGATTCATGGAAAGGTCCCTAAAAAACAGAAGAGGGGAGAATAGCATGTGCAAAAACAACATAGAAACTGCATATTAACAGCAGCAGAATGAAAAAAAAGAGAAGAAAGAAAGAAAGAAAACACGCAAAAAAAAAAAACATAGCAGTATGAATGACAAAGGGAACACATATTATGGAAAAAACACTAGGGGAACGTGGGGATGAGCATGAAGGCATACAGTTCCTTCAGGGTAGTGGAGAGGACAGGTGGGATGGAACCGTCCATGGTGTTGTTTCTCAGCACCCTGGCTCACACACACGCATGGGTGGGATTTGTTGGAGCGTTTACAATCCATTTTAACATACATATGCTGGAAGACAAGAAATGAGAACAAAAGAACAACAAAAAGAGGAAAGAGGGGGAAATTTGGGAGAATGAAAGAGGATCGGGGGAGAATCAGGGATGTTGGGCCATTGTTACGTTGCTTCAGATACCTATTTTGGATGCACACTAAGGTCTATCCTCGTTAAGATTGGCATTTCCAAATTCCAACCATGGCAGAATCAGGTGGTCGCCCAAGGATGGGTTGGGGCATTAGTAACCCTTCAATAACTCCTAGCTGACTTTGACAGAAATTGCTGGGCCCCACCCAGTGAATCTCGCTTCCAACCCCTCAACCTCCACAGCTACATGTAAGACTCCTTGTGAGTCCAATAGTCACGTCTGTTTCTTCACAAGTAACCCAGCTTTTAAAGGACGAACCACGAGCCGGCTGGGTGGGTATGTTGACTCTAAGTACTATGCGGAAGCGAATAAGACTGAACCAACAAACCAAACATGGCAACACTTAACTTCACTTTGAACCCTCCGAGTGTAACGCAAGTCACCTCATAGCCAAGGGCGTAAGAAAAAATAAAGTGAGTAGTTATGCCTTGCTTGGTTTGTGGAGTGTGTAATCTGGTCGAGCAGTTTCGGCAACACCACGTTACGTTTCTACTCTCGTCAATATGTAATAGTAGAATTAAAATCTTTGAAAAGCATAATAGCATTATTTCAAAATGAACAAGTACAAGCACACATCTATATAAAGTCCTAAACACACAAAGGAAAACATAAAACGGTTGCTTAAATGGAATCCGGGTCTTCGCTTTGCTGTAATAGAGAACGGTTGTGAAACTGCTGAAGAATTTGGTTCAATCCGCCTCATTAAAATTAACTGTAATCCATTTGTGCTGAAGCCAAACTCCCCTGCCGACTCCCGTCACGAATATTCATGAGTTCTCGTGTGGAATCATGGACACTCGTGTGGGATTCCCGTTTCCCAGTTGTAAAACGGCTTTTACCGTTATTAAAACGGAATTCACCGTTTGTGCCTGTTGAGAAAGCATCGCGCTAAGCAGCGTGACTTTCGTGCAAAGTCGGCTGTTTCCAAGTCAGCGCGGGATACGGTTGGTCAACCGTACTCCTGAGGCACCCTCGGTCAAGCAGGAAAAGACGATCGCTGACGCAATCGTGCTTTGTCATGCGCGTGACAGGGCCATCATGAGCCCTGTCTTGTTGCGATCGTGCCACTGTGCACGGTCGCAACAGTTGCGACACACGCGTGGGCCCTGAGGGGCCACACGCGCATGTCAGGACCTCACGCGTGGGTCCTGACTATCGCGCACTTTTTGACCAGCGCGAAATTGGTCAAAGAGGCCGAGTCAAAGACTCGAGCCTAGCACCCCCCGACACACTCGACACTCGCCACGAGTGCTCATGGAAACTCGCGAGCTTTCATGAGCTTTCATGACGCTCGTAACTATCATGAACACTCACGGTTGTTCATGAAAAGTAGCGAACGAACATGAGTCGTCATGAGAATTCATGACTCGTCATGATCCGTCATGACTTGTCATGTGCCCCCCAACAAAAACACATGAAACAGAATGCAAAAACAAATGCGCACGGAACACACACAAAATGCGGGTCTTCATGCAGGCGGCTGGTTGACGTGCAACATTAAGATTTGCACCCAACAGGGTATACAACCTGACTTGGGCTGGCTCGAGTTTTACCCCACACGACATCTGGCTCGATTATGTGTGACCTGTGCAGGCCCATATGAGAATTCAATCTGTGCGCATGCCTACAGTGTGCTCAGCGCTGTGAGAGCAGCGAATGTTGATGGAATGGAGCCCTCGATCCTATTGATCTGAAAGGATCTGTTAGAGAGGCACATGCAAAACAAGATGGCGACACAACGAGACAGGGATGATGCAATAAGAAGGTATGAATTGTAAGTTAGGAGCATTGATGATCTGACAGAAAGCAATGCTGTGAGAACATATGAGAAGGTTTGACAATCTATAGGAGATGTTGAGCAAGAAATGGATGGTTAAAGGGCCATGGACCATCGCAAGCCGAAACCGAAAATTGTAATGAACATTTAGGAGTGCTTAGAGCAAGGCTCACACAAGATGGGGACTCACAGCAAATTGTGGATCACAAAGAATGAGGCTCACAAATAAGTGAGGTGATCTAATGAAGCCCAGTACTCTGGGAGATTCCCGGCCAGTCCGTTGCCAAAAGCATCACTGATATGCCATTTATTAAAAACAAAAAAAACAAAACAAAATAACAAATACAAAAAAAAACAGCAGGCACCATGTGATTCGAGAAAAGTTCATTAACAACAGCTTGATAGCATGCGGACATAGCAAACTCGGTCACTCAAAGGGCTGTCTCTCGGCAAAAGAATGTTAATCATTGCAATTCGCCCCTGACACTCACCTCGCTTCCACTATGCTCCGACAGCAGTTCAATCTCTCACCCCTGTAACATCTGTTCCAGCATCGAAGCCCACAGGCAGGCACTTTGGATTTTTGGCTTACGGAATTGTAACTTTGTCTCTAGCTTTTCAAATATGAGGTTCTGTATGTATGTACACTGCAAAGAATCCTCCTCGTTTGCAGATAACTGTTGCACCCATCATGCATGCATTCCGTGATGCTTTTGAGTCGACTCAAAAGCAAATGCTTCTCAGACCTGCCTCCATGTACATTTGTGCGTTGAGAGATGAACAGAGTCCGCGAGTGGAAGAATAACAGGTAAGTTGGTGGAACTCGGTTTCTAATACTTTTACAACGAGCTGGTAGCAGCTGGTAGGAGGTGGTAGGAGGTGGTAACACCTGTTAGGTGGGCAGGCACTCAGGCCTTAAGTCGCCTCCTCCACACCCAACATGCACTGGAGGTGGTTGGGTTGGTGCTGGTTGGTTGGTGGCACTCACAAGTGTCTTAGCTGCCTGAGGCGGGAGAGGTCTTGCGGCACCACTCCTGTGCGGAGACCGTCCAAGTGAGCAACATCTCTGGTGCAGGGGGGAAAGGGGGATGGACGGTCAGAATGGATATGTGTGCTCCTGGGAGCAGTGGATTAGTTATGTTGGAATAATCCTTCCACTTAACAGTCTGGAAAAAAACCAAGAGAGCAACGCAGAGGACAAATATTCAGCACCCCAACACATTTCTTTGGCAGTCGATGAAAAAATTTCAGATGTGACAGGCACTTAATGTAGTGTGACGGGACAATAGCCAACCATAGCAAGACGTTCTTACAGGTACTGCAGAGCAGTCAAGTCCATGGCCCATCGAGGGAATTGGGAAGTATGCAGCAAACTCAAGTCCCTGCAACATGCGAACAGGATTTTGTAACAGAGGTGTAGAGAATGACAGATTGAAGGGCGAACCCTAACCAGCCCACGTGGAACGGGACTGGGTCGGCCATTGAGTTGGGCTGAATCCAAGAAGTTCCAAGCTATTTCTTTTCTAGGACCGCCCAGCCCTTGGCCTGGCCAAAATTGTCAGGCGACTGAGTGTCAAGATGAACCGCGGGCAGTTTGTGGCTGGTTAGTTTTGGTTCACTCGTCCTCCGTGCGATTGTTTGGAGAACGGGGTGGAAAGTGATCCTGACGTTTGAAAGAAACAGGCATCTCCAGAGCAGTTAAGTGCCTGAATAAAAAACGAAGGAGGCCTAGACAGAGTCCCGGGCTTGCATCAGACTACAAATCGACCTGGTTCCTCGCATATGGCCTGACACAGCACAAGGCGGTTCAGTTCCAATAGGCCAATAAGGCAAAAGAAGGGCACCAGGCCGCCTTGTGGGGGATGGTGAACTCGTGTTTGATTATTACAAATAGAGGACACATCACTTCCTTTTTTAGTGTTTTCATTTTCCAAAAGCAGGGAAAACGGTGTCAAATTCTCCTCACCAGTGAGATTGTACTTCCAATAATGTGAGCCTTCATTCATTCAGCTGCAGATATCTGTGCAATCCTAAGTAATGCAGTTTCACAAAACCATGTGCTGTGCAGCTTTCTTTGGTAAACTGCATGCAAATGGTACTGCAGAAAACAGACAGCATACACATTGGCAGTGCTTATGGACATAGAGACAGGGCAGAACAGACGTTCTACGAGCACCTAGTAATCCATGCGTAGGTAGCACAGCGTTTGGTTCAGGAGGAAGATAGGGAAGTGAAGCTGAATAGATGTCGGAACAGCCATTCGCAACAGCCATTTGCAGAGTGGGAGATTTTGGCGACTTGCAACTTGTTGAGAGACCTCAATGATCTGGCAGTCTGCTCTGCTCTAACGAGCCGAGCCCATCGGCTCAGTTGAGCCGTCCAGTTGGATCTACGATGCAATACCAGGAAGCACGGGGTCCTAAGATGCAGTGCAGATACGATTCGATAGAGAGGCGGAGGGAGGGATGGTTGGCTGGGCAGCAAGTGGTTGAGATTTGAGGGCTTACAAATAAGTGAGGGAGGTGAGGGTGCCAAGCAACACTGGCAGCTCTCCCGTCCAGGGTACCCTTGAGATGGTGCTGTGAGAACGCGGCATGCGATGCATTGTGGAATGGAGAGCACACAGCATACAGCAGGCAGCACAGGGGAGTGTGGTGTTTGTGGAGCCTCCGAAGGAGGACCAGGTGTCTGGTCATGTTGGAGTGGGTGGAGTGGCGCAGGGGCATGTGCCTTTCTGTAAAAGAGTCGCTTCTTCTGGGTAGGAATATAGCTTGTTATGGTTTCTGTTGTGCAAGCAAGAATGTCCTCGTGGGAAGATGCTCACCTTCGGTCTTAGACGTCGTGGGTTCAACTCTCAGCAGCTGCACTTTCTCTTCTCATTATGACCAACATGACATTCCCACACTCCACCACACTCACCCACAGTGAAGTGTGGTCACAGCTGGCATTGTCATCTGGCCACTCATCCCATACTCACCTTGCTGGCCCCTTATGGTGTGCCACATGCTGCCATGTAGGCTGTTGTTCCAGCCTGGCCCACATGTGCAACATGTGGCCTCAGTTGCTAGCTTGGCAAGGTTGGCTAGCCTTGCCCTCAGCTTTGAGGTGCTGCAGCTAGCCTCAAGAGTTCAGCCACATATATGTGGCTTCCCACTTCTCTAGAACTCATCCTTGGTTAAGGACATTGCTCTAGCCTCTCAAGCTTGTACCATCTTCCTACTAAGGATATATTGTTCTTCTTTCATTGTGCCTTAAGTTCACCGATCCTCATTCTACAGTTTAAAACGTGCCTTGCAAAAAAAAAGGTTATATACCTTACGGAGAAGAGAATGGAAAAAGGTTGTAGTGCGTGTTGATGAAGGCTTTGGAACGTCTGAAAACTGTTCTTACAGGCTTTGAATGGCTTTGAGGGCGGTGAGGAAGGTGAGGGCAGACAGATCCCCAACCACATTCTCCATGTCCGACATCCCACTGACGCGGCGATTGTATATCCACAGGCAACAGAGAAGTGGCTCATAGATGAGACACGGCGTTATCAATAGGGGCTGTCAAATAGCTCAAAAAGTGCATGGACAGAAATAGGCTAAACAAAATAATGAGCTCTGAAAGTGCTCAAGGTTGGAATTACAAGGACAATGATGAAAAGGTACCTTCTTTTTTTCTTTTTTATGTTACCGTTTTTATCCATTATTATTTTCCAACAACCAGTTTGTCTGCACTCTGATTCTAACAACAAATTCGCCCTATTCATGTTCGCGCTCACTTCGCCCGAACATGTTTGTGGCTGAGTCGCGTCGAACACGAACATGTTCCTGTTCGAATGTGTTTGTGGCAAACACGTTAGTGTAAACTTACGGTCCGTCACTGTTTTCTGAGTTCCACAAGCCCCCTGACCATACCAGCAGTCAGGCACCCAAATAAACTGCAAAATTCATGGGTTTTGGAAGTGCGACAGTGGTGAACGACAGCCAAAAGGTGAACACGAACATGTTTGTGTCGAGGAAAACGTCAAGGTGTTCCGCTATAAAGGCGAACACCCGAACACCTCCCTCCCAGAAAGTGTTCGGGCAAACACGAACATGTTCGTTTCGTCTAACATGCGTGTTCGAGGCATGCTCGAACCGAACATGTTCGTGTTCGCCATTTGCTCATGCCTAACAATCATTGATGGTTGCTTGCTTTTCTCGTCTTGGCGTTTTTTTCATTCGTTAAGGTTGTTTTCCACGACTTCGTACTTTCCTGACAGATTTCTACACACACAAAAGATGTTTTTGCACCGTGGTAGAGAGGATGCAGAGCATACAAAGAGGGTGCAGTGCAGACAAGGAGGATGCAGGGCATACAGGTATCGCAGGTTAGTGAGGCTTGATAGCCACGAGAGGTCCTCCAAACGCCCAGTGATGTTTATTGCACCGATGTTGCTGCAAGTGTGTAAAAAAGAATGGGGAAAGTGGTCAAAGTAGGTGGTGGGGATGAGAGTGGGCACAAAGCTTATATGGCCCCCAAAAAAAACCCGTTGGTTGTGATAAAGTTGATTTTATGGATGCATTGTTGTTTGTTTTCGTAAAAACCCCTATCATGTTTCCTGCATCTTCAATTTCACAGCAATATAACCTGTAGCGACCGATGCATTCTGGTCATGAATTCATCTCCGGGCGACTTCATCACCTCCTAAATACTTGTATTGCATCGTTGCCCCTAATGTATTCCTCTTCTTTTCATCACCAACTCAAAATGCCTTTGATTGGGCAATTTCAACCTTTACCACCCAAGATCGCTTCAAGAATGGCATGGGTTGGGGCCAAAGAGAAAGAACACTGACAGGTACGTGAGGTGAGAGAGGCAGGTGAAAGCAGATGGTAGGTCGCCAGAAAGTGAAGTCAGATGTATATTCCTGGTTGGCACGGCCGCACAGGGCAGAGGGGAGATTGGGAAGAGGTGGGGATGAAGCGAAAGAATGGAGCGCGATGGCTGCAAGATCCTTGGTCAACGCGAAAAAGCAATTAACACAACAAAGTGAAGGGAGACTAGCTGGCAAGAAGGCCTAAGCATCATCCCTTCTTCATACTGTAATAAGTTTGGACTCACAGGTGTGCGAGACCTGAGAGCGAGAAGATGGAGGATGGTAGAGAGCCAGAGAGCGGCGCATAAGCCATGTCCCTGCATGCAAGGTTTGCATGGAGACGGAAGTGTACGAGGTTATGAGGGGTGCACATGGTCGTGGATGCAAGGCTAGAAGTGATGAAATGCAAGGAGAGGAAGAAGTGATTCAATCAAGAAAAACAACCTTAACAACCAAAAATGAATAAATAAATACATCAATAAAATAAAAGTGCAAGATGTTCTTTATAAGTTCATTGGCATAAACCATAGTCTGTCCGTATCAAATATCCAAGACAAGAAAACATCTCCTCAAAAAGAGCTTCTATGCTCGGGGGAGGAAAGTGTGGGGAAAGGTCAGAGGAAAGAAACGGCTTGTGCAAAGGTGTATCGGAAGGAGAAAGCATAGACATGACATGATCAGCCAGTCCTGGTTCTGTTTTAAAGGACCATACACATGCCTGATGCCTCCCGCTTTTGTTCAGCGCAGGTCAGGTTGGGTTGGGTTGTGTCAGCCTGGGGATTGTCCTCAACCGACCCGCTTATAAGAGGTCGATTTGGTATTACCGGGTGTCAAGACTCAAGATCCTGCTTGAGCCGTGTCCAAAAGCCTAAGGGGGCTTGTGTGCGGAAGAAGGTGTGTGTGAGGGGACTAGGCAGGCAGGAGTGGGCATGCAGGGCATGCGAGGTCATGTGAGGGCATGTGTGTGGACATGTGGGGATATGTTGCACTATACGCTGAGGGCTTTTTTCGTATCACGTTTATGCGTTCACGTATAAACGGAAAAACGTGATACGGGGACAAATATGCGATACGCCTGGACGGGCAGCCGGTCAAGAAAAAAAAAAGGACCTGTTGCGACCGTTCTCGCGATCTGTAATTCTCCGTAACCTAATTTTGACATTTGAAAGTCGAATGCCTCCCCCGCACCCACCCCCCCCCCCTTCCACTGCACATAACCTCACACCACCTCCCAAACCCAACCCTTCCCTTCCAACCACACTTTGGCTTTCACGTCGTCAGTTTCGAAAACCTATGTCGACTACTAATGTCGCAGATCTGGCATTCCGCCGCCAGATCCGCGCGATTCTAGTATTCCGCCAGCAGATCCGCGCAGATCGGCAAGTCACATTGAATATAGGGGCCATCACTCACTCCCTGGCACTTTTTTCCCCTGCCCGGAACTTTTTCTCCCTGCCCGGGACACCGTATTTTGAGCGTATCGAGGGGGCGGAATTCCATCGTACGACGTTCGTACGTTGGCGTATAGTACGAACGCGACTGGTACGCCATACGCGTATAGTGCGGCAACATAGATGTGGGGGCATGTGAGTGAGGGCATGTGGGGGCAGGGAAGCACTCACAGCATGCGCAGGGAGGGGGGCAGGGAGAGGTTAGTGATGGAGCCTTGGAGGTAGTAGTTGTTGGCAAACACACTGACGGATGGAGCACAGCACATGGGTGGGGGGATACAGACAGACAGACTACAGTTGGAGAGACTCTTTTATTTCTGTTCTTGTTTTAGGAGCTTGAAAAGCACAACCTGATGGCCAGTGAAGAGAGGGTGGGGAAATATGGAGAAATGTCCTCCTGCTTTGGGATGGGAAAGGAAAATGGGCACACCAGAGGAGGAAACGGGGTCACAATGTCAGAAACAGTGGGAACAAGAATAATTGAGAATACTCAATAAAGAGGACATTAAAGGGAAAAAGACAATTCCTAAAGAGGATACTAAAGAACAAGTATAAAATGGGAATACTCGATAAGGAGGATTCTAAAGAGGACACTCAATAAGGACGACACTGAAGGGAAATAGCGGTGATGGTTGGTAGGCAGTCACGCTTGGACGTTTTTTAGGAGGCTCAAACGCACCGATGGTAATTAGGGAGTCGTGCTTAAATAGGAAGCTGGCAGCACCAAACGTTGATGAAACACAACACACACGCACGTTTGGTGTGCAAGGGTAACGCAAGCAATGGCTGTGGTCTACGGTTGCTGCCGTTATAATAAAACGTGAAAGGCCATGAGTGAGAGCTGGTTGCAAAGACAGGCAGATTGTGGGAGCAGAGGAGTTTGTTTATATTCCAAAATGAGAACGGAAGATGCAAAGAGTAAGCGGGAATTGAAAGGGTAGGAAAGAAGGAGAGCAGAAGAAATTTGAAGAATGGAAGAGAGGAAAATTGTAAGAGAGGGGATTACAGGTAGCGGAGGTAGGGCATGCGAGAGAAGAGAGAGAAGACACTACCAGGCGTCCACCCCTTGATAAGTTCTCCAGCACCAGACATGTTCCTGCAAGAAGGGCAGGGGTAGTTGTAATGAGCACATGTATGCATGCAATGCACACTCGGACACAAGACTCGCATGTATCCACATGTACACATGTATGTATGGACACATGCACGCTTGGATGTACGCATGCATGTATGGACACGCACACGCATGTATGGACACACAGACACATGCACGCATGGACACACGCATGCATGCATTAATGGGCACACACACACACACACACACACACACACACACACATGCATGTATGGAGACACACACACATGTATGTATGGACACGCATGTTGGGATAAACAAAGACATGCATGCATGAACAGATGTGTTGGAGGGGTGTCGTCCTGGGGGGTGGTGGGTGCGGTGACCCACCATACCAAACATGCACTTTTGTCCCAGTTGATTAGCAAACTCGGGCTATCTATCCCTCCCTACAAGACGTACACATGTATGCACGGGCAAAACCACACAGGCAATGCATGGCGAAACACACTGACACACCCTAAAATGACACCTAAATGCCCTACGAAGGACTCAGGAAGAAACAGAAAACGATGCTCTTCTACCGTAGTTGAGATCACATTGTCTCTCAGCACCAGGCACGTACACTGAAACGATGAAGCCCTGCTGGTTGCACTGGATGTACTCCCACTGGTCGCAGCGCCGTGAGCGGTTGGAGTTGGACGGCCACAGCTGCCACGCCGCGTTCAGCGCCTCCAGCGCACGCACTGCCCTCCCGCCCCGTGCACCCCCGCTCTCCCGGACACCCCCCCCCCCCCTTTCCCCCCTCCCCCCCTCCCCCCCTCCCTCCCCAACCCACTCTCTCCCCCAGACACACCGACAGAAAAGTTGGTGAAAAGGAATGGTGAAATTTGAGCGAATTTGGGAAAACCGATGGGCGAAATTGGGTGAAAGTGGGCGTAAGGCGAGCGAAATTATGGGGGAAAAGGAGGGAACTTGGGACAATGGGAGCAGCGTTACGCGATTGTGGGCCCATGGTTGTTTCGTGGTAGCCGGCTAGTAACCACCATACAAGGTAGCATTCTTCACGTTGCATTGCGTTTGTATCGCGTCATCACACCAAGGCAAGACAAGCAAGCATGACTGCAAAGGAAGCCGCATCGGGCCGCGCCGCGGTGTGTGAGACGCGGCCGGCCGCCTGCGGGGGCGTGCGAGGAACTCTCCCGCCCTGAACAGGCGTCCCTGAGAGAGGGACGCGAAGAACCCCAGGCTGGCGAAACTCACTTAAAACAAAAAAACCTCCTTCTCCCCTCTCCTCTCCCCCCTCCCCCCCCCCCACTCCCTCCCTCCCCCCCCCCCCCCCCCCCTCTCTCCCTTCCTCCTGCCTTTCAAAATACCCACGGATACAAAGGAGCGGGGGGCACGAGAGGGGCCGGGCTTACGCTGTGTGTCCTCGAGTAGGGGCCCGGCGGCGGGAGGGCGCGGGGTCGGTGCCGCGGTAGAAATCTCGAGTAGGCTCGTGCGATGATGTTGGGAACGAGTGCCGTGGCGACGCCGCTCGGCGACGTGCGACCAGTGCGACCAATGCGACGGTTGGGACCCGTGCGACTTGCGTGAAACGTGCGGGACGTGAGATTCGATATATGCATGTCGCGAGATCATGCGCGACGGCTTGTGTGAGTCCGCGCCATGATAGTAAAGTTGCGCCGATTCGACGGGAAGCGTTGAAAACACCACTACTACCACTAGTAATAGTAGTGTAACTAACTCCATCGCGAAGCAACGCGGGGCGGACGGGCGGCGGCGCGACAGCGAATTATGGCGGTAGCGGGGCGACGACCGCGCCATCATGAAGCTGGCAACAATCTGGTGCAGCATATTTTTCTCATCGTATCTCCCCCACCCCTGCACGCCACTTCCAGCCTGCAACACATTTGCTGGGAGGATCGACCTTCCCACGTGCTTCTACAAAGTTTGGCTGGGTAACTTGTTTTCTGCCCTGCTGGGCGTGTTTTTCGTGGTTTGATGGTTACTGTAGCGAGCAGAGCTTCTTATGACCTGGTGCAGTTCGCCTCTGATCGTGCAATATTGGGCCTGATCGGGTCGGATCGGTGTGGCTAGAGCACAACTCGAAAATAAGACCGCCCTTGCACCGCCTCAGGTCGGTCGCTGTCGTGGGCTACGTGGCAAGAGCCTCTCAATACGTGTGCTTGCGTGTCTGGAAACTCCCGCCAAAACTCCCATCTAATCAGCATGTATAAATGGGTTGCAATTGCCTCGTCATGCTCTACAACCGCGAATGAGAGCATTCGATCTCAGGTAGCTTGAGACGTGTTTCCATCGGAACCGTCTGTTCAGTACCTATGCCACATCGTGTGAGTGTGTGGTGGTGCTCGATGAGGTACATCTCAGCCAATGAACCCACCTGCAAGTGCTCCTTCAAATATTATTTGAGTGTTCACCTTGAATAACATATCTGGATAATTGCTGGTATTGGTGGTATCATTTCTACCATCAGAGATGATCATGTTCGTGCAGAATTATTGTTCTATTTTCCACTAGTTACTTTTGTTTTCTGTAAGCTAAAACCAAAGACCAACCGTGTGTACATCTACCAGAAAAAACAAGCCAAATGCAACACCCTTAAAAAACCTCATCAAAATACCCAAACTGAACACCCAGTCAGGACACCCCATCAACACACCCTATCCCGCACCCCATTTCACCGTTGCGCATCCACCATACACGGGGCCTCCACCCAAAGAGCCCCACCCTCCTCCTCGACGTCGTCCTTCTCCCGGTCCACCAAGTCCACATTCATCCCCCCCATAGAAGACGCCGCTCGAAGCAGGATGACACGAGCTTGCGCCCGTTGTAACGCTACCCCAATGAGCGCCTTCAGAGACCCCAAAAGATAAGCCGAAAACGAAAAGTCATCCTCCCGACAAGCCCGCCGTGACACGGCTAGCCCCACGTGCGCATCCCCCTGTCGTCGAAGCCACTGCCGGAAACGCCCGCCAAGACATCCCCACGTCTCTACTATCAACGGAGTGAACTGCACACCCCGGTTGCGCGCAAGCAGCGGCGCGTAATCACTCGTTTTGCGACGCTCCCACTCCCTTGCCGCCACACCAATAGAACGACCGCACTGCCCTAGCAGAGATGGGGACAGCGATAGCGGGTCCGCGACGCTGATCTCTAGAGCGTGAGCCTCCCCGGCCATTGGTCGTCGCACCGCCACGTCAACCCGCTTCCCCGGCAGCACCACACCATCCTCCATCGTCACCACCCCCCCTGACGCCTTAGAGATCCTCGCCACCGCAAATTTCACCTCATCATGCACCCGAGATGGACCGTGCTGGTGCTTGCATCTCAAGGCATGATGCGGGTCTGCTGGGTCAACATACGCTGTGCCACAAACACACCTCCCCGCGACCTGCAGCTGCTGAATTGGGAGACCGAGCCGTATAGCAGCAGCAATGCCCCACTCCGCGGCAGTGAATGTGAGATCTGAGTGAGCCGGGACCGTCGAAACCCATGCACCAGCCCCCGGGCCCTGAAGGGATGTGAAACGGGCCAGGGTGGCATCGTCACGAGCCGAGCGGCGCAGTGCCTGGAGCTCCTCTACAGCCAACTGCCGCTGCCGCGCCTGGAAAAGTCGAAGAGGGGGAGCCGCTGCACACAGAGGTAAGCCCGGCATCTCCTGGCGTATAGTCGCTGGCAGCTGCTCAATAGCCTTGGCAAACCAAGGGTCAAGAAGCTCCGCCCCTCCCGAGGTGGTGAGGTACTCTGCAAACATCGCCTCTTCCCCCGCCACCCCCAACTGTGCAACATCACGCGCGGCCTGCGCCCACCCACAAACATAGGACAGCGGGCTCAAAGAGGCCGCCGCCCTAATCCCGAACCCCCCGAGTCGCACGGGAAGATGCAGCTGCATGCGCGCGCGCCTAGACCGGTCGGGGTCCTGCTCCCAAGTGCCAGGTGGGAAAAGCTGCTCGAAGCAATCCTCCAGACAGCTGTCCCAATCCCTAAAGGCCTCCACCACCTCCGGACGCGGCGGCATAGTCCGGGCCAGGTACATCGGCCGTGCTGAAACTGCAATGGCGAGGAGATGTGAAGCCATCTGGGGGTGGTCAAGCGGGGGGAGCCATGGCAATGGCGCCTGCAACTGTCGAAGCCGCTCCCGTAATCGGGCCACCTCCCAATCCTCCTCCCCAATAGGTACGCCCACCACAGTGAGACCCTCCTCCACCCGCTGCATCCCTAATGGCAGTGCCCGCTCCACATCCCCGCCTTCGCGCTCCCAAAACCGGCACTTGTGCGCCTGCACCTCCAGCCCCACCCACTCCAACCGCTCCCGCAACACCCCAAAAGCCTCTAAGATCCTAGCCGCTGGTCCCAGGATGTAGGTATCGTCCGCATAACTCAGGAAAGGTATATCCCTGAACTCTCTAATCACCGACGCCATCACTTGCTGCTGCGTGAACGCAAAAAGAAAAGGGCCGAGCGGGTCCCCCTGCCGCGAACCTCGTGCCGACTCAAGACTCTGTACGAAAGGGCCCGCTCGGAGATACAAGTCGCTAGGTGACCCGTAGAAAACACGCAAGAATGGGATCAACCCCGAGAAAGGCGGCTCCCGCAGCCCCTCAAACATCGCCTGACGGTGAAAAGAATTGAAGGCGTTCGCGACATCTATCTGCAGCGCACACCAATCGGGGTGAGTGGCCAGCGCTGACCGGAAAGAATGAGTAAAAATCTCCACCCCGACCCTGGTGCCCGCTCCCAGCTGGTTGCACGGCAGAAAGTAGGAAGCCATAGCAGGGCGGAGCGAGATGCAAAGAGCTCGAGCAAGGATACGCGGAAGCACCTCCCCAATCGCCACCGGCCGAACGTCGCCGTTAGGCTTGGAAAGCCCAACTAGGTTGGATGCGGCGAGCCAGGGCCGTGCCCGCTCGGGGACCTGTCCTGCCACCCATTGGTTGAACACCTCCAATAGGTGGGGAAGGCAGGAAGGTTCAGTGAGGAAGGTGTCGCGCAGATGCTCTGTGACCCACCCCGATGGCCCTGCTGCTGAAGCGCGAGCGGCTGTATGAATGGCTCTGGCCAGGACGTCGGTCGTCAGTGGAGGCCGCTGAGGAGCATCGACGGTGAAATCACGGACCCACTGTGGTACCTCGCCAGTGATAGCAGGGTGCTTCTCTTGCAGCGACTGCACCATGGCCTCAGACGGTCGCGCCAACTCTCCTGCTGTAAGGCAAGCCAGTCCACGACTCCACTCTCCCACTTTACACCGAGCTCGGCAGCGTGACAGGCGGATGGCATCCGGGTCCTGGTCAGAGCAAGTGTAGGCGAGTGGACGAACTGCTGGCCGCGCCGCTGCCATGGCAGAGTCGAACAGCTCCCGCCACCTCCCCTCCCAGAACGCCCCCAGCCGCTCTATTATCAGCGCCTTCTGACCTATGCCTGGCTTGGGAGGCACGGCTAGGATGAGGCGCGGAAACGCCAAGAGCAGGAGGGTAGCGGCTTCATCCCCCGGTCGGTTCTTTAAACGCTTCAAGATGCAGCAGAGCGCGTCCAAGACCCCCGCCCGGGCCCGCTGTGGGATCCGGCGCACTGTCCTCCCTCCAACCGCCTCCACACTGAAAAATGCTTCCCACTCCCATGACGTAACCCCGGCCCACGCCTCGTCCCCAAAGTCCCGCGGCGTCGGTCTCTCCTGCGTGTCGGTCTCCACCAGGGACGGGATCGAGCCAAGTGCCTGCGCGCGCCTCTCCGCCTCAGCCGCCCTGCATACCCTCATGTGGTTCGCAGCGGCCCCTCGCGTAGCGAACGTGTGAAAACACGTGTCACATGGAAAACGAGGGCATGGGGAAGGCGGTATGGGAGGCTCCCCGTCTCCCTCTGGTTCCTCCGCAATCGCCATGGGAGTATGTAACTCCAAAAGTCGGCTCCACTCCACCAACTGCTGCTCCAGGTCGTCCATCAGCTCCCCCCCTGGCCGCTGCTCTCCCTGGGATCCACCAGTCGCACCTGGCTGCCCACCTGGCCGCTGCGTTCCCTGGGGTGCACCGGTCACCCCCGGCTGCCCCCTTGGCTGCTGCTCTCCCTGGGGTGCTCCGCCACTGTGCCCCGGCTGCCCCACTTGCTGCTGCTCTCTCAGGGATGCTTCGGTCGCCGCCGGCTGCCCCCATGCCTGCTTCTCTCCCTCGGGTGCTTGGGTCACCCTCGGCTGCCCCCCTGACTGCTGCACTCCCTGGGGTGCCCCGGTCACCCCCGGCTGCCCCCCTGGCTGCTGCTCTCCCTCGGGTGCTCGGGTCGCCCCCGGCTGCCCCCCTGACTGCTGCGCTCCCTGGGGTGCCCCGGTCACCCCCGGCTGCCCCCCTGACTGCTGCGCTCCCTGGGGTGCCCCGGTCACCCCCGGCTGCCCCCATGGCTGCTGCTCTCCCTGGGGTGATCCGGTCAACCCCAGCTGCCCCCCTGCCTGCTGCTCTCTCTGCGGTGCTCCGGTCGCCCCCGGCGGCCCCCTTGCCTGCTGCTCTCCCTGGGGTGCTCGGGTCACCTCCGGCTGCCCCCCTGGCTGCTGCGCTCCCCGAGGTGCTCGGGTCACCCCCGGCTGCCCCCCTGACTGCTGCGCACCCTGGGGTGCCCCTACTTTTGTTTTCTTATCAATGATACTACCTCCTGACATTTGATGGCTTGCTCACGAAGATTAGAGCCATTTCCATCAAATAGCTCGTCGGTTTCCCGCACCAATCCGAGAGGAGCAGCTCCCATCACCACAGCTCCTGACAGCTCCTCCCCTCTACCTTCAGCAACGTTCGTCACTCAAAACTAGCACATTCGTGTTACACGAGTCGTGTACTGTCCATCTGCCGCCTTTGGAACAGCCATGGCGGCATCCCACCACACGTCGCTAGTCTCCACAGCAAGCACTCTTGCCAGTCCGCGGCTGTCGTATCCGTCAGCCGTCTCCCGCCTCTCCTCCGCGCACGCTTCGTCGTCGCCCATCGCTACCCCTCTTTCCGCTCCTATCCGCGTTCCCGCACCCCATGGCACCGCTGCCGCAATTACCTTATCCCGCCGAGCCGCCTTCCTCGCCGCCGCGGCGGCGAGAGGACCCCTGCGTTGCTCGCGTCGCCGCCTGGCAGTGGCCGTGCGATCAGCGGAAGGGGACGCCGCCGGGCCGCGGGACCAAATAACTTCTGCGGAACCGCAACCGGCGGAACGATCACCGGCGGAAGCATCGGCGGCGGAAGCGCGAGCAGCGGAAGCAGTATCCGGAGCAGAAGCGGGAGCGGAAGCCGTCGTTGTTGCAAGCGCGGATTCGGTTGGCGGCGGTAGCGTCGCGGGGAAAGATGCGGCGGCGGAAGTAGAGAAAGGGAACTGGTCAACGTCGTGGGAGCCCAAGGTAGTAACTTTCGAGGTGTCGACTTAGAAGGCGGGGAAAGAGGCGGTGGCGGCGGTAGAGAAAGGGAACTGGTCCACGTCGTGGGAGCCCAAGGTAGTACGTCTAGGTGCCCCCTTCTTCCCTAACTCAAGGGTCGACTTAGAAGGGCCTTTGCCGATCCCTTACCCGTGTAATTTTCTCCCGGTGTAATCTTCTCCCCGTTCCCCGCCCTCCGCCACGCATTCCCCCGCTCACCTCGTCCTCCGCCACTCTCTCCCCCCTCCCCGTCCTCCCACACGCGCATTCCCCCCTCCCCTCTCCGCCGCGCATCCCCCTCCCCCATCCTCCCACGCGCGCATTCCCCCCTTCCCCCTCCGCCAGGCGGCGCTGGGCGTGCTGCTGCTGTCCGTGCCCGTGGTGCCCGCGCTGCCGCGCTGCCAGTGGTCCGCGCCGCTCTACTTCGGCCTGCTCGCGCTCTGGGCCGTCTACGTGGGCAGCCACCGCAGGTGGGTGCGCCGCGCTCAGCATAGTGAATTCGTGACGCGCGTGAGGTGAGGGGTCAAAAAGTTTACCCCTCACTGCAAGTGCGCTCTGGGCCGTCTACGTCGGCAGCCACCGCAGGTGAGGAAGCGCCGTCTGTGTGTGGAGAGCGCAGGCGTGGCGTGAGACCCGGGCAGATCTATATAATGGGGTGAGGTGAGGGTGGGCCGCCTGTGTGTGTGCAGCTCTGTATTGCGCGCTCTCCCTCCTCCATCCATACCCCGCACTCTCCCTCTTCTCAGCCACGCCATTCTGTTTCCGACCGCCTAAAACACCCTCCACTCTGTCCGCTTCCCCACTCCCTCTACCCACTCCGTCACCCCCTACTCCCCCTTACCCCCTTCTCCACCCGTTCGCTCCCCACCCGCCCCCGTCTTTCCCCTATTCCCTCCCCTCCACCATCCCACCCCAGCCTCACCCGCCCCCCAGTGCAGGCGGTGAGCATGCAGCAGGGCATGGCAGTGCCCGTGCTCTGCTCCGTCACGCTCTTCTCGCTCTACTGCCTGCTGCGCTTCGCCCCGGACTTTGACCTGCGCGTGCTCTTCTCCTCCTACCTCACGCTCGTGGGCGGGGTTGCAGTGGCCAGCCACCTAGCTGACCCGCTCAAGGCCGCTCTGCCCAAGGAGATCAACGACCGGCTGTCCGTCACGCTAGGTGTGTGTGTGTGTGGGTCGTTCTCTCCTGTCCTCTGATAGAAGCAACATGGGCGTGTGGCTGGCTGCTGTGCTCTGCTGCTCTGTGCTGTGGCGTGCTGTGCTGTGCTGTGCTGTGCTGTGCGGTGGTGTGGGTTTCTGTGCGCTGTGGCCGTGTGTCCTGCTCGCTCTTCTCCTCCTACCTCACTCTCGTGGGCGGGGTGGCAGTGGCCAGCCACCTAGCTGACCCACTCAAGGCCGCTCTCCCCAAGGAGATCAACGACCGTCTCTCTGTCACGCTAGGTGTGTGTGCGGTTGTGTGGTGGTGGTAGGATGTGCGTATGGCTGCTGTGCTGTGCTGTGCGTTGCGGTGCTGTGCTGTGCGTTGCGGTGCTGTGCTGTGCGTTGCGGTGCAATTTCGTGCTGTGCAGTGCAGCCGCGTGTCCTGCTGTCTTTGCCGCCTACCTCACGCACGCTCATGGGCGCACAATCGTTATGGTCCTTTGCCCGTCTCTCTATCCCCTCGTTTATTCTCTTCTTGCTCTTCTTTCTCTTCTTTCTCTTCTTGCTCGTCTCCCCTGTCCACCCCCCTCCCTTCTCCCAGCCAGCCCCGTGTTCGCATTTTCTCTCTCCTTTTCTCTCCTGCACCACTCGCCCTTCCCCACCCACCCCTCTCCTCCGCTCCCTTTCCATTCCTTCCTCCTAACCTGCAACTCCTCTCCTTTCCACTTCCAGTTCCTTCACCTTCTCTCGCATCATTTCCCACCTTTCCCATCTTAATCTCCTTCTCTTCTCTCTCCCCCTGTGCCCTTGTTGCGCCAAACCTCCAGACATCCCCTCGTGGCTATTAGAGAGCTCCTCCTCCTCCTCCTCCTCCTCCTCCTCCTCCTCCTCCTCCTCCTCCTCCTCCTCCTCCTCCTCCTCCTCCTCCTCCTCCTCCTCTCCCTCCTCTACCCCCTCCTCCTCCTCCACCTCCTCCTCTTCCTCCTCCACCCCCTCCTCCTCCTCGTCCCCACCTGCACCAGCAGTGCTCACCCTCTCTGCAACCGACGTGCTCTCTGCTGCCCGTGAGTCACACCGGGCCCTCTCACAGGGGCTGTGAGGGGACTTAGTGCTTGGGGGTTGGGTGGGGTGGGGTGGGATGGGATGGGATGGGATGGGATGGGATGGGATGGGATGGGATGGGATGGGATGGGATGGGATGGGATGGGATGGGATGGGATGGGATGGGACGGGACGGGACGGGATGGGATGGGATGGCATGGGATGGGACGGGATGGGACGGGATGGGATGGCATGGGATGGGACGGGATGGGATGGGATGTAATGGCATGGCATGGCACGGCATGGTGTGGGATGCGTGTGCTGTTAAATGATGTAGCATTTATTGCCTGTCGACTGCATTGTTCTGTCCCGTCCTCCCATCCCGTCTTCCCGTCCTCCCCTCCTCCCGTCCTCCCGTCCTCCCGTCCTCTAGCCCCCATTCTCCCCTCCTCCTGTCCTCTTGCCCCGCGTTCTTTCCTCCATATCTTCCTCAACCCACCCCTCCTGATTTCCCACCGCTGCTGCGCTCGTTCAGTTGCTGCTCTCCTCTCCTCTCCTCTTCTGTCCTCTCCTCACTCACTCTGCAATCGCATTTTCATCGCCCGCATGTGAGCCTACCAGTGGCCACGCCTGCTGGCAGTGGCATAAACTTCCTTCCGTTCCCTTCTCCAATCACCCTCTATGTCCGCAACTATCCCCTCTCAACTCAGCCATGCATCTTAACTGTTCCTTTTCTGAACTCAACCATCCTCTTCACTCTCCCCTCCGCGCCATGCGCCCCGCCTCCCCCACCAGTGGGCATGGCGATGGCGGTGGCATCAGTGCAACCCTCGGCGCCCTTCTCCCTGGGCAACATCGTGGCCGTCTGCATCATCCCCTCTATCCCTTCTATCCCTTATACACCCCCCATCCCCTGCCCTACGCTCCCCTGCGTGCGCCCCCCCTCTCCTACCCCCACCCCCCCCTTCCTCCCCCCCCACCAGTGGGCATGGCGATGGCGGTGGCATCAATGCAGCCCTCGGCGCCCTTCTCCCTGGGCAACATTGTGGCCGTCTGCATTGTCTCCGAGGTGCTGCAGATGCTCTCCCTCCGCAGGTACGACCATTGCCCTCAGATTTGCGGAGATGCATGGTTTGTAGGGGTGAGGGAGGGAGGGGGGGGGAGGGGAGGGGAGGGGAGGGAGGGAGGGGAGGGGAGGGAGGGGAGGGGAGGGAGGTGGGGGGGGGGGGAGGAAAGGGGGGCGAATGAGGAACGTGGATGCGCCTTTCCATGCGCCTTTCCATGCGCCTTTCCATGCGCCTTTCCATGCGCCGCTTCGTCACTCTGCCCCATACCACTCCCTCTCGCCCCTTCCTCACTATTACCGTCAATTTCGCGGCGGCATCAGCAGTACTGGTGGGGCGGGGCTACCGCTGTACGATGTGCTCTGGGTGTTTGGCTCCTCGCCCATCTTTGGCGCCTTCCCTCCTACCTTCCCCCCATGCTCCTCCTCCCCATCACTCACCCCCTACAACTCCCTCTCGCCCACTCCTCCCTCCCCCCCATCAGCTTCGCGGTGGCGTCAGCAGTGCTGGTGGGGCTACTGCTGTACGACGTGTTCTGGGTGTTTGGCTCCTCGCCCATCTTTGGCGACAACGTCATGGTCACGGTATGCTGCTGGCACACTGCCACCCCACGTGTGTTGTAAAATACCCATGTGCTCACTCAGAAGCCAATGCCTTCTGGGTGTTTGGCTCCTTGCCCATCTTCGAGACAACGCTATGGTCACGGTATGCTGCTGCCATGGGCACCCACGTGTGTTGTTATATAATCCTTATAATACCCACTCTCAAACCATACCATTCTGGGCCCTTTGCATGCACACACCTGTATGTTTGACAGTCCTTAAACGTCCCTCTGCATGCAGGCACAAGCCCATTCCATTCCCATAACCTGCAGGCCCATACATTCGCCCCTATGCCGCCGCTTGACTTGCCGTGCCTGGTCACGTGCAGGTGGCCACATCGGACGCCCTAGTGGGCCCCATGAAGCTACTTGGTGGCTTTTGAGTCGACTCAAAAGTCACCCCTTTCCCTCCCCCCACCGCCGTGCCTGGTCACGTGCAGGTGGCCACATCGGACGCCTTAGTGGGCCCCATGAAGCTCGTCTTCCCTCGATGGACGGTGCGTATGCCTGGCTGGACGGTGCGTATGCCTGGCTGGACGGTGCGTATGCCTGGCTGGACGGTGCGTATGCCTGGCTGGACTATACCATGGCGTGGCGTGCACTGTTCCATGTGTATCCTTGGTCGAATGGATGGGCTGACAGTGCTGTGCGCGATACCATGCCATGCCATGTTACGCCATACCATACCATACCATACCATGCCATGCCATGTTACGCTATACCATACCATGCCATGCCATGCCATGTTACGCCATTCCATGCCATGCCACCCCACCCCATACAGTGCCATAATTACTTCCCAATTGTCCGTTTTCTTGGATTCCAATCCTGTTCTCATGCCCACTCGCTACGTCCTTCATCTCCTCCCTCCCTCCCTCCCTCCCTTCCTCCCTCCCTCCCTCCCTCCCTCCCTCCCTCCCTCCCTCCCTCCCTCCCTCCCTCCCTCCCTCCCTCCCTCCCTCCCTCCCTCCCTCCCTCCCTGTCCCTCCTCCCCTCCCTCCCCCTCCCCTCCCTCTCCCTTCACCCCCAGGTTGATGCTGCATCACCCTACTCCATTCTAGGCCTGGGAGACGTCGCAGCGCCGGGCCTGCTCATGGCACTCATGCTCCGATTCGACTCGCACCGCTCCTCCTCCTCTGCAGCCGCCGCCGCCGCTGCTTCTGCAGCAGACACTCCCACCAAGGATTCAACAGCGCAGGGCGAGGCTAGCAGCAGCAGCAGCAGCAAAGGGGCGGAGGGCAAGCAGCAGGGGATGGTTGTGGCAGCGGTGGGGGACGGTGCTGCAGGGCTGGAGGACAAAACGTACTTCCTCGTCTCTGTTGCTTCCTACCTCGCTGGCCTCGCCATCACCATTGGTACGCTGCGGGGGTGTGTCTTGAGCAGCGGGGGTGTGTCTTGAGCGGCGGGGGTGTGTCTTGAGCGGCGGGGGTGTGTCTTGAGCGGCGTTGGGCCAGCACTTAAAAAGTGAGTCGACTCAAAAAGTGAATCGACTCAAAAAGTGAATCGACTCAAAAAGTGAATCGGCCCTGCTTACCTGGTACATGCTCCCACACCTTCCGTTCCTCCCTCCAATCCCATCCCCGCTCCGTCCCACCCACAGGAGTGAACACAGTGACAGGAGCAGCGCAGCCGGCCCTGCTGTACCTGGTGCCGTCATTGCTGCTGGGCGTGTCAGCAGCTGCAGCAGCGCGGAGCGAGCTGGATGTGCTGCTGCGCTTCGATGACACCGCTGCAGGGGGTGCTGGTGGGGACGGCATGGAGGGGGGTCTGCTTTTCAAGCCTGTGCCGGTGCAAAGGGAGGGTGACCGATCGAGGGAGTGATTTGTTGTGCGCTTGCGTTAGTTGGTGTTTGCCATTCCCTTTTGAATGACAGTGCCGCTGCGGAGCGGAACACTCTCACACTCGTCGTCAGTGCATCTGTGCATACATGTTTATATCTATTAATCCTGGAATTATGATACGGTATTAGTCAAAAATGGAGTGGGATGGGTTTACAAGTGAATCAGCTACGTTTACTTGCAGTGTTGTCACATCTGAAATTCATAATAGCATGCAGATGCATATTGAAAGATCAAGTGTGTCTTTATGGAACATGATCGTTAACAAATGTGTAACGACTAGTGTGTATTGGTGATGCGCACGACGCTAACCTTGGCCCACCGACTATAAGCGAGCTTCAAACAGACGAGGCCACCAACCAAAGTTCAGTCGTCGGAATTCAAGCGGTGAATTGTGGGTTGCCCGAAACGTAAGGCATCGCCTTGTCACCATTCTTCTCTGTACTTTCCCGCGGCTCGCCACCACTGGCCTCACCCTTCTTCTTGTCATGCTGGTGCCACCCGCTCTGAGCTTCTGAGAGATGCAAGGCGCATCGCATCGCATCGCAATGCAAGCAACGCAGCACACCTAGCAGCATGTGCTGCGCTGGAAATACAGTACACTGTGTACGTAGTCGCTTTCCTCAATCCCAACCACCCACGGCCCGTGAAGACATGTCACATGACACGACGAGTTCGTCATGGCGATTCCATTCTCAGATTTTCTGGACCGACCGACGTTCGGAAATTACGAAAGTTCAGCCTTGCCAAATACCCCTGCAGCGCAGCAAACAAAGCGCAACAGCAGACGCCGCGAGGAGCAACAGCCGAGCCGCCTCTGCCCGTTGCTACCCTCCGCAGTCCATCGGAGAGCTTGCGGCGCCGCACGTTTTAGAGTATAAGATCTGTCCGTACTGTACCGCGGCATTCGTGTCTCCTCCTGCGACTCGGCACCATTGAGTGATTCGCCGTACTGTAGCGCTTTAAGTCTACTAGCTTTGTCGGTACTGTAGCGCATGTTCCGCAGCCCCTCCTCTCCACCATCACTAAGATCAGCAACCTTCTACGCTAGCGGGTTCAATCATATTTAACAGCCTTTAAGGCTTGAAGACGATGCCGACGGTGTCGCATTCGGCCGCACCGTCGCGCCGCCTCGCTCCCCCAATTCACCTCCCGTTCCTCCCGCTCGTCGTACTATGTTCCCTACTAGCGCTTACCGCCCGACCCGGTTATACAGCTGGAGCAACAGACGCAGATACAGAAGCAGAAACAAACGCATCAGGCACGGCGACACGGGCGACAGCAGCAGCAGCAGCAACGAGTCAAACGGCTGACCGTCAGGAAGCGCGCGCACTTCTAGGAAAGGAGGTCCCTTTCACCGCCACGCCAGCGCCGACGCCGCCGCCTCGTAACACGACCCTCGTGCTTCTGCGCGACAACCCTTACGGCGCCAAGTGCCTCGACGGCAGGTAGTGATGGTCAGTCAACGTAGGGAAAGTCGAGTTTTGAGTCGACTCAAACGTAGGGAAAGTCGAGTTTTGAGTCGACTCAAACGTAGGGAAAGTCGAGTTTTGAGTCGACTCAAACGTAGGGAAAGTCGAGTTTTGAGTCGACTCAAACGTAGGGAAAGTCGAGTTTTGAGTCGACTCAAACGTAGGGAAAGTCGAGTTTTGAGTCGACTCAAACGTAGGGAAAGTCGAGTTTTGAGTCGACTCAAACGTAGGGAAAGTCAACTCAAAACTCGACTTAACACGACCCTCGTTCTGCTGCCCGACAACCCCTACGGCGCCAAATGCCTCGACGGCAGGTAGTAGTTGTCAGTCAACGTAGGAACCCGCCGCTGACGCGGCGGCATTGAATGAGGTCATGCGGCTGGGCCGTCCCTCACCGTCCCTCAGTGGCACTCACCGTCCCTCAGTGGCACTCACCGTCCCTCAGTGGCACTCACCGTCCCTCAGTGGCACTCACCGTCCCCCAGAATCTGCTTCGGTAGGTCTCACATGCGTCACAAATCCCCTCCCTCTTTGTCACGTTCCACCAGCCGTCTTGATCTCTCCCCTCCCCCACTTCCCCACCCTCCCCTCCCCCACTCCCCCCAATCTCTTCCCCCACCTTCCCCCCTTCACCCTCCCCCTCTTCCCCACTTCACCCTCCCCCTCTCTGCTCATCGCTGCTCTGGTCCCCGCGCGCCCGCTGCCTCCGCCCACCCTCCCTCCGGTTCCGCATTCCTAATTTCCTCCATTCCTGACCGCCTGCTTCTCTGCCCCCACTTCCCCCCCTTTCCCCCCACCCCACACCCGCCCCCCCCTCTCCCCTTCTTCCCCCTTTCCGCCGCCTCTCCCCCTCCCCCGCCAGTCCCCCGGGGTACTATTTCCGCGCGGGCGTGGGCGAGGGGCTGCGCAAATGGCACGTGTTCCTGGCGGGGGGCGGGTGGTGCGCCACGCGCGCGGAGTGCGTTGCGCGCAGCAAGACGTACCTGGGCAGCTCGCGCATGTACCCCGCTGATCCCTCCGCCTCCGCCTATGCGGATGTGAGTGAGTGCTTCGCGGATGTGGGTGCTGCGCGGATGAGAGTGCTGCGCGGGTGAGGGTGCTGCGCGGCGCGGGTGGGAGTTCTGCGAGGGTGGGAGTGCTGCGCAGGTGGGAGTGCTGCGCAGGTGGGAGTGCCACGAAAGATATCCGCCAAGCCGCCGTTCGCAAGCGCCAGTGCTGACGCCTCTGACTCCCCCAACCTCTCTCTTCCCTCTCTCCTCTCTGTTTAAAGATTCCCTCCCTCCCTCCCAAGTCCCATGGATGAAGCCCGGGTACGTCTTGCTGCGCGCCCCGCCATTCTGAGCGCCAACGCCAGTGCTGCATTCTTTGTCTCCCATCCCCTCCCATCCCATCTCCCCCTCACTCTCCCCTCTCCTTGCCTCTCTCTCCACCCTCCGCTCTCCTCCCTGCTCCCCACGCGCCCTTCCCAGGTGCCATGGATGAAGCCCGGGTACGACGCCATTCTGAGCGCCAACGCCAGTGCCAACCCGGCAGTGCACGAGTGGAACCTGGTGCGCGTGCTCTACTGCGATGGCGGGGGGTATGCCGGCACCAAAGGCCGCGTCAAGCTGGCTGACGGCACCAGCATCTACCTCGACGGATGGAATGTCTTTCGCGCCGTGGTGCAAGGTAGGTGGAGCTGACTTTTGAGTCGACTCAAAGGGGCGCGTCAAGCTCACTGACAGCATGAGCATCTACCTTGATGATGGGTGGAACGTCTTCCGAGCCGTGGTGCAAGGTGGGAGGAGAACGGTGCAATGTGGGAGGAAAAAATTGCCTCTTTCTCCCTATTTCCCCTACCACTTGCTTCTCCTCCCCTTCTCCTCGCCCGCTTACCCCCTTACCTCCAAAGGCTTCTCTCCACCATCACCCGTTTCGAGAAATGCTTCAAGATCTAATAGAGCATGGCTGCGACATGGCTCATCGGCTGCTTCTTCCTCCTCGCTTCCAATCCTGCCCCATCCATAACCCAGCAGCCATCTCTTTTCAAGAGCAACTTTTGAGAACCCTCAGAAGTGGCCGCCAATAGCCGCCCGAATTGAGAAGTCTCAAATGTGAAAGCCCCATTACGCACCCCCTCCTCCCTCTCCACCAACGCCCCTCGCCCGGCCTCGCAGATCTCCGTGCCAATCGCGAGATGGATTCGCCGTCCCACATTCTCCTTTCGGGCAGCTCGGCTGGCGGGCAGGCGGTCGTGAACCTCTGTGATTGGCTGGCAGCGAGCTTCCCAAACGCCACAACGCGATGCCTGGTGGACTCAGGCTTCTTCATGGGTGGGTGCAGGCTGCATGTGAGTCGCTTGTTGAGAATTCTCAGAAGCAGGTTGCACGCACCTATCAGCCCTTTTGAGGCACCTCAAAAGGCTTCTTCATGGGTGGGTGCAGGCTGCGCCTGAGTCGCTTTTTGAGAATTCTCAGAAGCAGGTTGCACGCACCTATCAGCCCTTTTGAGGCACCTCAAAAGGCTTCTTCATGGGTGGGTGCAGGCTGCGCCTGAGTCGCTTTTTGAGAATTCTCAAAAGCAGGTTGCACAGCACCTATCATCAGCCCGCTTGTGGGAGTTCTCACAGGTGTAGTCTGTCTGCATGCATGCATGCATACGCCTACCAGGTTCTTTGTGCGTAGGTGTCACTCTTGAGAACTCTCAATGGTCCAGTCTGCATGCATGCCCCTATCTGCCTGCCTAATGTGCGTAGAGATGTGAGATGAGATTCATGCACATATTGTGAGCAACTTCACCACCTGTGTTGCACCACATATTGAACCTGTGATGGTATGGTAAGCTGGTCTGGTCTGATCTGATGGGTGCACGCAGAATGAACCCAGGTGGGTTCAGAGTGGATTCGGGGTGGGTTCAGGCTGGTTAGAGTGGGTTCAGTTCAGGTGCCCATCACTGCCTGCTTGTTGATGATAACAGCAGCAGCAACAACTAAACACAGAGCTTTCCCGTGGGTCATGGTAGTGGCATGCAGCAGGTACGAGGAGCACTGTGTGTGTGGGTGCAGTATGAGCCTCCCTAACAGCCCCACCAGTGTGGGGCGGGACAGGATGGGCCTAACAACCCTAACAGATGGAATGGATACATACTGAAGTATGTGTTCTAAGCATCCCTAACATAGCACATTCTCCACCGTTTCTCCCTTCCACTGAGCAGCACAGTACCTCGAAGCCATGCAACCAACCCACTGGCGTTGCATCCGTCCCCCTACCCTATCCATGCAACCCCTCGTCACGCATTCCCCATCATGCATTCATCATGCATTCATCATGCACTCATCATGCACTCATCATGCACTCATCATGCACTCATCATGCACTCATCATGCACTCATCATGCACTCATCATGCACTCATCATGCACTCATCATGCACTCATCATGCACTCATCATGCACTCATCATGCACTCATCATGCACTCATCATGCACTCATCATGCACTCATCATGCACTCATCATGCACTCATCATGCACTCATCATGCACTCATCATGCACTCATCATGCATTTCCCCTCCCTGTCCTGCACTACCCCATCCATGTCATCCCTTCAGATGCCAAGGACCGGTATGGCAAGCATGGCTTCAGATCGCTGGCTCAGAGCATCACCGCACTGCACCGGCCTCACAACCCATACTGTGCCTTTGGTGCGTCAAACGTTGAATTGTGGTGGTGGTGGTGGCCGCTCGTGGTGCAGCCTGCACTGCTGTATGATTGCCCCGTGTTGCTGCAAATCAAAACACATACTTGTCTCTCATTCCACTCCCGCTTCTAAGGGTGTAAGATTAGCTCCTTTTCTTCTCTCTTCTCAATCCCCCCCTTTTCTCCCCCTCTCTCGCCCTCCTCTCTCTCCCTCTCCGTCCGTCCTCACACTCTTTCCTCCATCTCACCAGATACTCAAGCAGCAAAGCACGCTTGCCCTGACAGTGCTTATTCGCCTCTGCGCCCACAACCTCACCTTCTTCAACCCATCTCCCTTCCGTCGACCCAACCCATGCCCCCCCATGCTCCCCTCCCTCACTCTACAGCAGTGAAATACTTGTTTTCACAGTACACTCTACGCACCATCGCCTAAGCACTCACAATCTCACCTTGCTCAGCCTATCTCCCCTTCTTCGACCCATTCTCCCCCATCCTCCCTCCCTCTCTCTCCACCAGCAACCAACTCTGCCCAGCAATGGAAGTGCTTCTTCCCACAGTACACCCTCCGAAGCGTCGCCACGCCCGTTTTCATCTTCCACACTCTCTTCGACTACATAGCAGCCATGCTGGGCAACCAGTTACCTAAGGACAACACATCATATGCCGCTAACTGCGTGAGGGAGGTTATCAACACGCAACCCACGGGTGCCTTCCAGTTCATTAAGTTCAAAAGAGTGAGCTTAGCCGCTGAGAAACCGCCTGCGTTGAGTGTCAGTTGCACGGCGGGCGAAAGGGAGGCTGTGATGGGAGTGGCGACGGCTGTTCATAACCAGATTGTTGCTATTGCAAGCGACAGGCCGTCGATCGGAGCGTATATTCCCACGTCATCTGTACATACTGCTATCACGAATAGGTTCTGGACAACGCCTTGGATTAATGGCACGTCAGTGTGTGGTGCGTTTGAAAGTTGGTCAATAAGCTCACCTCAGGGTGTTGCGAAACTCATCCATAGCTAGCGAGATTAATTATTTGTTGCTGCTTGGTTTCCAAAAAAGAGTTGCAAAGCAAAGGTGTCACGAATGGCACAAAAGTAGGTGCTCTGTCAATATTTATTCCACAGATGCGTCCTAGATGTGGATCGCCTTCTATAGAAGGAAAGGAAATGCAAAGAGTTTCCATCATTTACGCTACATTGCATGCAATACCAATTTTTGAAATGATAGGCTTGTCCCAAGGACCTTGCATTTCGATGCTACCTCTCGTCGCCTTCGGACTTTACACACCCAACCTGTTGTTGACAAGAAAAGACCCCGTCCTTGCTTGGGCGAAGTCAACTTCGTTGTCTAGAGCGCAAAGTGTGCAGCCGGCAAAGCTTCGTGGACGGCGCCGGCTTGGAGGAGGAAGTCGGCGGGTTTGGTTAGCCGACTTCGGTGAATCTGACAATGGTAAAGCCGACTTCCGCGAAGCTGACCACAGCAAAGCCGACCAGATGCTAGCTAACGAAGGGAAGTTGGCGGACGGCGCCGAGCCTCGGCGGCCGACGAAGGTGGTCGCCAACATGGCACCAAACTACATGCGTCGATTGTCTATCGTCGGCGTTGGCTGAGCAGCCTTTTCAGATCGACCAAGTAACTGGTCCGCAAAACTCAGCAAGTGCGCGAGTTTCGCCCTAGACGGTTTTGGAGAACGTCGACCTGTGAAACGAGCATCGCGTGCTCTATAAACTGGCACATGCGCAATGTGCATCACGTGCACGACGTGCACGCAGCCGTCCGTTGTGCAGACCTGCATCTACTTGGTACCGTAGGTGCGCACATTTGCGCAATTGTTCACCCGCAAACATAGTGCTCACAGGCTGCCTTGGTGCAACGCTGGCAAGCCTCCTTGATTCAGCGTTGGCAGTGCGGAGAATCATTCAACAACGATGGGAGCCGAACTACGTTGGAGGCTTACAGGCTTGTTCGGGTGATCGTAGCGTTTCTCTAGCACTTGCACATTCGTGTGTTCACGGGGAGAATTGGCAAGAGTTCCAATAAGGAAAAGAGATTGAACAATAACACAATGAGGCATGCAAGTCAATATAGCTAGAATGGCAAGCAACACACCTAGCAAGCATCATGCAAGGCAAACTGCTAGCGCAACAAAGGGGCAACGTGCCAACGCTGCAGCAGGGCGGCCCTCCAGCGTTGCACCGAGGGCGGTCTGCCAGCATTGTAGTCGCAGGTGATCATGTGCGCATGTGCGCATCTACCAAGTAGGTGCAGGTCGACGCTCGCACTGCTAGGCACAGTGCGCAGGTGCCAGGTAGAACACATGTCGACGGTTTCGACAGACATGCACCGTCCAACACGTGAAGCCACTCCGCAGGTCGGCTTCGCAAAAACCTCAAGGGGCGAAGTTCGCGCACCTGTCGAACTTCGCGGTACAGCAGATTCAGTCGACCACTTCGACGCTGCTATGTCGAAAAGCGTTCAACGTGACGAGCTTGTCGAATTGGGCTCGTCGACCAGTGTCTCTCGACGGGCTCGTCGACCAGGGCTCTTCGATGGGCTCGTCGACGACCACTGCTGTCGATCAGCAACTCCGGTCGAACAGAGACTGCTCGACCAGCAGTTCCATTGACCAGGAAGTCTACTCGACGACCACGTTGTCAAATTGTTTTCGTCGACGGTAAAATTGGTTGTGCCCAAGCGAGGACGGGGCCTTTCTCTTCGACAAACATGTCGTCTTCCAGCTGCGTTGGCACGCCGCCTTCCTACGGCATTGGCAAGCCGCCTTCGTGCTGCTCTGGAAACCGACTTGTTAGGACGCTAGGCGCGTTCATTGTGTTCCTGTTATATCAACTTGTTTTTCCATTGTGTGTTTGTTCTTCCAACATTTCCTAGTGAAACTCTTGCCAATTTCACCTACGAACATAACGAGCTTGTGACCCCCTACGTATTCCACTCCCATTGTAGAGTGACTTACCGTATGGTGCGGTGAGCGTGGAACGGACCTGCAATAGACCTTCAGATTAGGCAGACCGTTGTGCGTTAGCCACGTCGTGATCTAGGCCGCCAGCCGTATCAGACCACACAGTAAGTTTCCCCCCATTCCCTTGCCCACCAAGCCCTAGCAAGCCTCGGCAATTTCAAGCTGGGCTGGGGTCCACAATTTTGTAGTCTCGTTTTAATCGCCAGGTCGACCGCAGATTCGTTGCAGGAGTAGGGGATGCATTGCTGGCGCGGGAGGTTGTTGTGCGGAAGCGCCACCAATATGGCGAGTTCGGAGAGGCAAATGTTGAACTAAGAGGAGAGGAATGGTGTCGACTAGGTCAAGGGGGGGTACAAGTAGAATGACAAGAGAAAAGTTGTACCCCCTAAGATGCATCTCACTATAGGCTAAGTAAGAACTATGATATAACTTTAACACACCCCCATAGCCTAAGTGATAGGGATCAGAATGACCAAGACAAGCAAATGGTCACAAGACCAGTCAAGCAAGAGAACAAAGCAAAGCTCGGGGTGGATCTCAAGGACACCACACAATCTGAGCACAAGCAAGCGACCACAAGGCCAGTTCACATGCAGAGGTATCATTGCAAGGCAGTACACTAATCACAACCTAGCAAGAGGAAACATGCAGGTATAAAGATATATATCAGTGTACAACAAGAGCAAGTCAAGCAACCAGCAAGTTGTGAAGAAATGAGGAATGGAAGAAGAGGGGTTGCACTAGCAGCAGTTGGCATACATATAGGAAACCCTAATTGGGTTGTACTCGCTATAGAGTACCCCACTGCAGGCTAGACAATTATAACATTCTGACACACCCCCATAGCCAAAGTGGGGTGTAATCAGCACAGTGAGCAAGCAGGCATAGAGCAGGAGTTCACAATAGCGAGCAAAGCTAGATTTAATCACAGCGGGCAAGTGAGGAGGAGGAGGAACTGTGGAGGGAGAGAAGATGGGAGGCAACGACTGAAGCTGCAGAGGCACGGGCACAGGAGCGGCTGACTCAGTGGCTACCGAAGCAAGGGCGACGGACTACTGGAGTAACTGGCTCCGCGGCTATAGACGAGCGGCAGGAGCAACGGACCCACTGGCGACTGGTGCAACAGGCTCACTGGCTACCGAAGCAAGGGCGACGGACTACAGGCGCTGCAGGCGACACGACAGCTACCTTCACACAACCTCCTCCAACTGCCCCACACCCTCGACACACACCCCCTGCTCAGACCCTAGCTCCACTCCCACAGCACCCCCCTTTCACACACCCCCTGCTGCACCCTAGGTTCACTCACACCCCACCCCCTAGCACCACTCCGTCGACTCCCACACACCCACCCCCCTTAGCGGCAGCTGCAGCAGTGGGAGACAGAGGAGGAGGAGGAGCAGGGGAGACCACACACCCGCCACCCCCCACTCGCCACCCCCAGACCCTAACACAGGGCAGGGCGGGACGGCGGGTAGGGAGGTTACGGGGGGGGAGGGGGGGGGGGGGGGGGGCGACGCGCGGCCTCCCAGGGCGCCAAAACAGGCGGCAGAAGGGGCGGCGCTCGCCCCCCCCCCCAGGTCGCCCCTCCCGTCGCCTGTCGAGGCGACCTGAGGGGGCCGCGAGCGGCCCCCTCAGGTCGCCTCGACAGGCGACGGGAAAAGAGGGGGGGGGCGGTGCACGGGCCCCCGGTGCGCCGCGACAGGCGACGGAGCATGGCCGGGGCGGGGCCGGGGCAGGGTCGAGGCAGGGCCGAAAGGGGCGGCGACGGGGCCGCAAGGGGCGGCAACGGGGCCGCTGGAGGCGGCGACGGGGCCGATAGGGGCGGGGACGGGGCCGCTAGGGGAGGCGACGGGGCCGCTGGAGGCGGCGACGGGGCCGATAGGGGCGGCGACGGGGCCGCGAAGGGGCCGCGAGGGGCCTGGAAGGGCGGCGACGGGCCGCTAGGGGCGGCGACGGGGCCGCGAAGGGGCCGCGAGGGGCCTGAAAGGTCGGCGACGGGGCCGCTAGGGGCGGCGACGGGGCCGCGAAGGGGCCGCGAGGGGCCTGGAAGGGCGGCAACGGGGCCGCTAGGGGCGGCGACGGGGCCGCGAAGGGGCCGCGAGGGGCCTAGAAGGGCGGCAACGGGGCCGCTAAGGGTGGCGCGAGGGGAAGAAAAAATTCGTCGCACGCAACGTGGCGTGCAACGCACAGAGTAGCAGCGGAAGCAGTTAGGTGGGCCCACAGGCCAGGAGCGTAGATGCTCTGATAGCATGTGAAGAAATGAGGAATGGAAGAAGAGGGGTTGCACTAGCAGCAGTTGGCATACATATAGGAAACCCTAATTGGGTTGTACTCGCTATAGAGTACCCCACTGCAGGCTAGACAATTATAACATTCTGACACAAGTGACGCAGTCTGGGCACAAGCCCAAGAGCAGTGCAGAAACGCTGATGATCACCAGACCCAAGGGCCTTGGTG